GATGATCGATAAGATAAAATTTAAAATATGAGTTTGGGGATCTATCGTCCCCAACACAGACCACGTCTAATCGATTGGATCACTTCATACCTGAAAAATCGACATTTTAAGGTCAGGGTTAATTTCACTTTATCTCAGGCTATGGAATGTCCTGGTGGGGTCCCCCAGGGTTCAGTACTAGGGCCTCTTCTCTTCTTGATTTACATAAATGATCTTTTTCAACAGGTAACGTCAGACTTATTATTTTTGCCGACGACGTGAAACTTTGGAGAGAGATACGCAACCAAGACGATATACAGGCACTTCAGGAGGATCTAACTCGATTTCAAAGTTGGGCAGACGATAACAGACTTCCCTTTAACACTTCAAAGTGTGAAGTAGTCCATCTGCGACGCGTCGCAAACTACAGTTACAACTTGGGAAACTTCTCTCTAGTAGCATCCCAAGTCGAAAAAGATTCAGGAGTCCTGGTGCCCTACGATTTAAAGTCTTACGCTAACTGTGACAAAAATGCCTTCTGAGCAAACCTTGCACTGGTAACGTTGAAGCGCATTTTTGGACAGTTTGACGGACGAACTTTCCATACAATCTTCAATAGTTTCATCCGTCCCCATTTAGAGTACGGAAACATAGTATTTCCTCCCTCACTCCAAAAGGCAAGGTCACTTTGGAGCGTATCCAACGGCGAGCCACGAAATCAGTTCGAGGACTCAAATCTAAACCTTAAGAAGAACGCCCCCATTCACTAGACCTTTACCCATTAGAGTATAGGCGTCTTAGAGGTGATTTATTAATGGCTTATAGTATTCATAACACTTCTGGACATCCTCTTAAACACCTACTTAAGCTTAGTTCGAATAATAACCTAAGGGGTAACACCCTGAAACTGGAGACACAACATAGCAAGACGGAATGTAGACACAACTTCTACTCCTTAAGAGTTGTGAAGAGCTGGAATTCGCTGCCGGTTGAGCTAGTCCAGGCGACTTCTCAAGAGTCCTTCAAGAGGCAACTTGATCTATTCTTAAGGACCAAGGTCAGCATCCCACTATGATTTACCAATTTCTTTTCCTCTTTTATTGTTAACAAACCTAGGTTCCTGCCTGGAGGATTTGGTGATCCCCTGCTACTAGACACAGAAGCCTGTTAAGCGGAAGCTTCTTCTATTCCGTCCACAACCATTTGAACCCGTTGAACCAATACTTGGAACCTGCCGCTCGAAGCAGTGGTGTCCGCACCTTCAATAGACTCTTTCAAGAGAAGACTAGGCAGTCACAGAAGCATACTAGAAAAGGAATAACATAGGCTGTAGGCCTTCTGTCCTTACTACACAAATCTGAATCTGAAGTTTGAAGTTTGAAGATTTGCACGCGGCTGTAACAATAGGTGAGTTACATTTCGGCAGGCCGTTTGCTCAGCAACTCGATAAAGGTATGTTTCTCGTAACACTGCGGCTTTGAGGTATAAGCGAAGTAACTTGTTTATGCGAACATTTCACTGAGGTCGAAAGTATGTTTTAAACCCAACTTATATATGCTCGTTAGGAAAATTATGGGTAAAAGAATAATATACTGACGACCATGGGCGACTTATCAGCCAATCAAAAAGCTTTGCCTAGTTATAAAACAATTATCAATCCAAATTAATAGAGTGGCAGCTTTGATCACAATAAGCAATGAATGTCATTAAGAACCTAGACACACAATCTGCCTTGAAAGCAGGTATGTCACGTAATTTGGCTTGAGCACCATCTAAAATTCGCTTTGCCACAATATAAAAATATCTCCATAGATTTCCAACATTTTGGGGACCAGTTGGCAGCATTCAAATACTGCCGATTCTCACTTAGTTGATAATATCATACACGTCAGCTATCGATTTCGATTTATTTATTTTCTTCTTTAAACACAAACAATGGTAGAAGAAGGCACCAAACAGATATACGCCACATAAGTCGTTCGATTTGTGTAAGGGCCGGAATACTACTGTCCGGGCGCCCAGACCGAAAGAGGTAGTTTCCTTAAGGGCAACTCTCCGGGTCCTTGACTTAGAGGTCTGATCCACAAGGCAGTGGAGTAACGTTAGTAGATGCATTTCCATGGTGGTCAATGACCAACAATAGGTTCATACGCCGTTTGTTTCCTTAGGGTCCTAGAGCCCATCTGCACCATTGGTTTGGAATCAGGGTTTTGTAACCCCCCTAGGTGGACGATTTGTGTCCGCTGACCCGGTTAGAGCGCCAGACATTGACTTTTCGTTCTCTTAGTTCCGTAACCAAACTCCCGCGCAAGAAGGTAGTGAGTAGGAATTCCCTGGCAGTGGTTGTATACGCATGGTCATGTTCGAGCATTTCGAGAGGGAGATCTGACTCTCCCCACTCTCAGCCGTACCAGTGCATTTGCGGGCTATCACCATAATGTCCAGTCCTTGGTAGGTTTGCGTCTGACCTAAAGGTACCTTGTATGATGAAGGAGTGTTGGAGGCAGCAAGTGGAAATGATGAGCTGACGACTCAGTAAGCACATAGAATGCACTTACATTCAGTATCGGAAGCAATTGATAACAATGAGAAATGACACGAGCGTGAAATTTACACAATCTGATAATCGAGACAAAAGGTTGACAGTGTAAGGTTTCGGACGTATGTGCACTGCACTTTAAACCTTGAGTGTAATGACTGAGGTATTGTCTTAATTTCGATTGGTCAACTTAAGATCGTTTGTATACTATACTTTTACCGACTCATGGCGACAAATCTGTAAAATTAGATCACTTGAAGTCTCAGGTCTAAAGTAGAGGTTTACAGTTGTTTGTTTTGGTTTTTTTCTGTTGACAAGTCGTTCGGTGCTTGCCTTGTCGAAAACCATTGCTCAAATCTAGGTACATAGATTCAATCAGACAATATTAAAAAGATAGGTTTCAAAACTAGTAAAGCGTAACCACAAACAAACTCCCTCTAAAATAAGACTAATTACAAGCTAATAGAAGAGTCCTTTGATGTAGATTACTATACATATTACCTAGTTTTTTCCCGACTGCGTTCGCATTTAAATTATCTAAGGCAATCCACAAAGAGACTGGAGGACGTATTAGAAATAGATCAAATGTATAACACTTGGAAAATAACCAACTATAGGTTCATGATCCTCCGTAGAATAACAAACAGTTCAAAAATGAGCTTACCGTATTCTCCTTAATATATCTGTTAAACTATATTGTACTGCTAACATACAAAAATGCATACTTTATTCCTTGCTAACGCATATTTGCCCTTGGTTTAGTTAGTTAATCAAGTATTTGGTTCACTGGCGTTGTTAGGCTTGTGATATGCTCATCCTCCTCAGACCTAATTTAAGCTTTCAAACATACAACAACCAATACTTCGTTGATTTGTTTGAATATTTATGAGGAGCTTAGTGTATGTTGGTCGTTTTAGTCTGTATCACACAAACCATAGGATGAATTAACAAAAGAAAAACCAAACATTATCTAAAAAATAAATTGTTCCAACTGCGAGAAACAGTACACCAGATAAAATGGCCTCCCTTTTCATCTTCGTCTGTACGAAAACTATCTGACTGTCAAACGCCATGATGTATCTTCACTCACATCAATACACGTAGATAATTATGGATATACATTCGACTGTAATAATGTTGAAGTTTTTGATAAAAGAAGACCAGAGAATTTTTAGAAGTTTGACACTCAGGCCAATCAACAATCAGTAATTAAGTTGAAGTTGACCCAACATATCAACCAATTTGAAAAAGACTATGGATAAATGTGGTATCAAAAAATCGGTCAAAGGGAGAGATCATCAGAACATATGTGCAGACAACGAAGGGATAAAGGTTAACAATGACGAAGTTCTACAGGACAACGTGAAGTTTGAATACAGCACTTCTACCTGAAGTTTGTGCTGATGGTGTCGTGTAGAAGGCTAATCAAAACTTCACAGCTGAATCATCCAGCTCAAAGAGCAAAACTCCACTAAAAATACTCACTGATATTGATGACAAATTCACTGAATCTCATATAGTAGACAAATAGGTCGTACTGTTTCAATTTTAACATTTTTTTACTACTGTAGCAACTGTCATTGCTTAACCAAAGAAAAACAACTAAATACGACAATACCCAAGTAAGTGCAGTACTAAGAGCTTGCTATCACTTCAGATCAGTCTGTCTTTTACCAGCCCCTTCAAGCAAAACTATGTCATTATATACAGATTTTCTAGTTGTGTTATACGCTATAACTTTATTATTGTAGTTGATTTTATATCAAATTTCGACGTGTGACAGTTTAAAGGTGAAGTATTATGGAAAGGACGATAAAGATTGAATGGTTCTGGGCCATTTTAATCTCTTCTGAATAACATCACACTACTCTGATCACTGATCGTGGTTATCGTATTGACCTCAACTTATTATTTATTTATTTGAACACATGAATATTGGTACAAGAGAGCGCCAATATATATGCGCCTCAACTAGGTATTCTCTATCTACTAGCATGGCTCAGGCTAAGAGCCACTAACTTCATGGAATGATGTCACGTTTTATTTTGACCACCCCGAAATTTCTTGCAACTTGCTTCTACACGAACTAACATCGTCGGTTGAAGTAAGCGGTATTTAGGGATGGGTAACACATGTACTAACCACTCTAGGCGATCAAAATTCACAACTGCATCAACCGATATAACACCGTTGTCTAATACCTTTGGTGTAACCTCAATATTACTCACTCGGTCGTTTGGGATTTTGATAACATTCAGTTTTAACAGTTATTTTAACATTGATTTGAGATTAAAGAAGTTACTTTGTACTGTACTGGTTAATCTACTTTTAAAAACGACTAAATACTTTTGTTATTTAAAACTTATTGACTTTCTGTATTATTTAGTATTCAATCCAAAGTAAAGAATGTTAGTTATCGCCATAAAACTGTGAACCTTAGATACTGTTCAATGTATTGAATTCGGATTGAAGCTACACAAAAATGCATCCTTGTTATAATTCCTCGTCTATGTTGTCTCCACCTACTGTCACTACTTTTCATTCATCACAGTCATTAAGTTCACCATCCCAATCAGCATATCATCAGTCCTCAACACATGATATGTCCAAACCAAATTCAAATGAGCAGTATAACTTGGCTCATAGTCGACATCATCTTTATCAAAATGTGATTCTTCCTAGCCCATCTATACAACGTTTTCCTAATTCATCAAGCAATCACTTTACCCACTATTCGCAATCCCATATCCGAACAACTACTTCATATCCTTCTTATGACTGTTATCGGAACAATTCTACACATTCTCAACCGAATATTAGTAGTGGTTTGCCTATTATGGGCTATCCAATTGCACTCAATTCTACAAAAAATGTAAGTTGTGTCCTTCAGCTTAAATAAATTATAGCTCGTATCTGTTAAGGACCGCACTTTTTAATCACCTCTATTCAGTCTGTGAACTAACCTTGATCAATCCTATACGATGGGTTGCTCTTCCTAGCTTGCATATGTAATAAAATACACCATGAGGACATGCAAAATGAGGTGTAGTACTGAGATTATTTTTACAGCTAACTGTTATCAACCAAAATATCACTAAAAACCAGAATGCATTAAGTATTTTTGTTAGCGGGACATAGACTAGATTAAAGCATGCTCAACGCATGATTGTTTTGGTGCACGCTGATTGGCTGATTCTTATCCAATCAGCACTAGTCGATAGTCGGAGAATACTCTGGAATCTTCTTATGTAAAAACTATAAATATACTGACGTTTTCCCCTATTGTGCTTCCTACTGGCTTCTGACTTGCTATTTGGAATATAATCTTTTTCCTGTTCAACCGTGTTCTGATTTGGGGACTTGTCGAGTGAATCGGTGTCCGAGAATACTAAGCCATAGGAATAGCTGGGTCATTAACCGGTAAGAAGAAACAGAGTTATAACAGTGGCGACGGGGAAAAACTAAAGAAAAATGGCGATTTCTTTAGAACAGTTGCGGTTAATATTACAGCACCAGCAGAAGTTGTTAGCCTTGCAACAACAACTATTGAGCACACTTTTCACTCGACCAGAAAATAAGAAATCTGTTTATGATGCAGTAACAGACATTTCAGAAGCATATCTAGTGGAGGGTTCAAATCCCTTTATACCTGAATCAGAACGTAATATTTGTAACGTGTCCGGCTCACAGCAAGAAAATACTGTGCTGAATGCACATGAAGTTGTGACAATACCAGATGATCAGGAGCCAGATCCTGTAGATGATGCCCAGAGTCCAGAATCAAATGAAACACTACTGGTACTGTCTAGCTGCGAAAATAAACGTCAGCTAGAACAAAATTGTGGTCCACGTGCTATTAGTCGAGAAAGCTATGGTGACTCGTATTCAGAAAATAACTGGAGCAACACGATGAACCAAATTGTACCAGATGATACTCAAAATCACCGGAAGACAGAATTTTATATTGAGTCAACTTATCCCATTTCTAATGACAGTGTACCAGATATTGATTCTCAGAATAATGCATATGATTTTGATGAACCTTCTTATAACAATGAGGGAAATATGTCAGCTGAGTCGAATGATGGCCAAAAATCTAATCTAATTCTGTTAGACGTTGACTTTCTTAATGACTCGTTATCTACTAACGAGATTCATAATGAATTTGAAAATAATGAACTCAGATCAAAGGTTGTTCATCATCATCTAGTCATTTTTAGTGGATTCTCCAGTCAATATGAGAAACATGGTTTAAATAAAGTCTTACTAGTTGTAATTTGGAGCCATAAGGACCCAACATTATTTCGAGGAGGAGGAGAGTGTTGGAGAATTAAAAGTTATGCATACTTTTTTTAAGAAAAATCAAAACCCCGGGAACAGACATGTCAGTCTCTGTGCAAGGAAAAAGTGATAATTCTTCATTGCCTAGACGATGGCCTAATCGAAAGCACAGGCCAGTCACTCAGTTGCAGTTGGACCCTAGCACCAGATCCTACGAATCTGCTCAGAGGGGAGGTGTTAGCGGGACATAGACTAGATTAAAGCATGCTCAACGCATGATTGTTTTGGTGCACGCTGATTGGCTGATTCTTATCCAATCAGCACTAGTCGATAGTCGGAGAATACTCTGGAATCTTCTTATGTAAAAACTATAAATATACCGACGTTTTCCCCTATTGTGCTTCCTACTGGCTTCTGACTTGCTATTTGGAATATAATCTTTTTCCTGTTCAACCGTGTTCTGATTTGGGGACTTGTCGAGTGAATCGGTGTCCGAGAATACTAAGCCATAGGAATAGCTGGGTCATTAACCGTAAGAAGAAAGAGATTATAACAATTTTTCAACCTAGCTTAAAATGCACAGCTTTGTGAAATTTCATAATCTTTGAAATTGTCATCATTTTTAGTTACTGTTAATCGTGTTATCTATTAACTAATGTTGGCCAGTATAAAGTAGTAGATTGTGTTACTGTTTACTCAGTTACCGCAGGCTATCAAATCATAATCTAAATAACACAGGCGTAAAGGTTTAAAACTTGAAAAGAAATTTTCGGTTCGCTAAAATTCTAGTTACACTTCCCCGATAAGTACTAACTAGCACAAAACTTAAATCAAGGACATTGTGTTAACTCTTAATCAATCAATAGAGATATGTAATGAAGATTCGTCTGTTCATAAATAGCCACTTAATATTATCGGTTTGTGTGTAGGTGGATTCATGTCACATTGATATACCTCTGTTCAATAATTGTTTTCTTCATGTTTGTCATGGTTATATACATCTATTGCTTCGCTGTCAGCATTATTTATTATTTTCTATCATTTTTACCAAATAAATAAATGTCAAATCAGTTCCTTCGATGTTTAAAATTTGCTTTAGTTAAGAACTTTCTAGACTGTGTAAAGTGACAATAATCGTACCGATGATTCACTGTGATATTTTTCTTATATATTAACCAACGTCCAATTTTCTTCAATGTTTAAAGAATATTAAACAAATTTTGATGTTTTGTTGTAATAGATATTGATAATGTTCACTATAATAGACTAGTAATTGGCTAGTTAGTTTGAATGTTGAACATGGATTCATCTGTCCATTCAGTGTATCAAATGAAGTAGATTTCTGTCATGTAAAAACAAGTGAATGCATGTGTATTTGCATTAACATTAGAAAAAGACAATTTCAGGAAAAGTAATATCAAATTGCTTAACCAAGTCATTGACAATGCTCATAAAACTTTAAAATTAGGAAGGACAAGTGATGTCTGTAATCGAGTTTTATAACTTTAATGAAATGATTATATTGGTAAACCAGATTGACTGAGCTTTTGGCTAGGATCTGGGAATTGATCTGAACTGACTAGTCTTGACAACTGATCTTTCCCGGTCTATACAAAATAACAGAAATCCCCTTGTGATTACCACATGTGAATCAAACTAACGTGGCGTTTAGAATATTAACCCTAGCTTATGAAGAGCAAATCCCTGAAAATCAGGCTGTATGGTCAAACCAAATATTCGTCCTTCATCAGGTTCTAAGACATGTTTATTAACTCCCAACCATAGTTGCTTTTCTCGACCTTAAGACAACGTTAGACTCTTTAAATCGAAGAGTTTCATGGTAGTGTCTGTCACTGGACGACGTACCAAAGAAAACCATCAACCTTGTTCAGATTTTCTACTTAAACTACTGGTTAAGTTAGATCTCATAGGGAATCGTCATCAGAATTATCAACAACAAGTAGTGTCCAGTTCTTCGCACTGTTCCTTTTTTATTTAAATCTGTCATAGATATTCTTCTAGATGTAACTCTCTCATCGTCTGCATTTTCAGCAAATAATGTCATACCAGGAGATTCCCTTATTGACTTAAAATACTCAGATGGCAGTCCTACTCGGTGATGCTGACAAAATAGTGTTTTCTGGCCACCTTAAGCAATAATGCAAAAGTATTTAGAATGCGATTCCCTCCTTCTAAATGTAAAATGTTGCTTCAGGACGTCTGTGTCGACGCCTGAACTGATGATAGGGAATGCCTCAACGGATTTACATATCTTGAAAGTCTAATCAGCCCTAATTAGTTGGTATCTGATGATATCTCGTTTTTACTACTACTGATGCTGCTACTATTTCCACTACATTGGGATTCAACTGAAAAGCTTCATTCCATTGTGCTAATGCGGTTTGGAAACTTCAACCGACGCACATATATGCCAGGCTCTACGTTGCGTATAAGTGACTGACAACGCTGCAGGAGATGGTTACCGATACCTGACATATTACCGACGAGTCTACGTCGGCCACCCGAGCCACTCTTCTGTTCCTAAATGCACAAGCTGCATATTGAATATCCGGCGAGTTTTACAATCTATCACCCTCCTGAAAATACCATTTAATTGTTGGTAGAACTCATCCACGACCTCAGCCGGACTACAATTTGTGGGCTCATTAGCGGAGATCATAGAAAACAGTCTTTTTCCAAACGTCTCTTTCTTTAATGGAGCTTTCTAACCTAACAAGTGGGCGACTGTAAATTGAGATCTGATCGATCAGTGCTACCTCTGCTCTGGCGTCTAGTATGACATTAACGTCAGTCAAACCGTACAAAGATGCTACAGAGTTGTCGAATAAGTGCACAAAAAACAAAATTTTCGAGTCAATAAATGAATAACAAATATTTATTTCTTCAGTCCAGGGTTTCTTCTCCACTACCTCAAAATGCCTGACATCAAATCATATTCTGTTTAATCTCCTGCCACTTAGACTATCTGTCACATTATAACTTAGTCGATAGAACTTGATTATTACTGAAGGACTAGACAGAAGTGACATTGATCGCTACTTATTGATCAACTTCAAAACACTTCAAATCGTTCATCGTTTCATGTAGCACATTTGTAAATGGGGAATAAACCTGTATAAAAACAATCGGAATGTATTAAACTTTTAATCGCAATCTTTCTTTGATATATTACCACCTCTGAATTAACTACTTTTATGAATCTGGTGTCCATCTTGTTGTGTTAATGAGGTATGGCAACTTAGACCGATGCATATATGTGCCTGGTCCTACGTTGTAGCTGACTGACTGATTAAACTTTTAAGGCAAAGTAAAGTGAAATTGTGTTCACCGTTGTTGATCTTGTTATTTAAATGTGATATAAAGTGAACATCCTTGCCGTTAGGAACGGAGTTTCTGAATTTGATATCTGATGGGTCCTTAAGTGTGTTGAACTGCTGAAGTGACTTATACTAAAACGAAGCAACTTTCTAGGGTTACCGACTAGCTTTTAATGGTTTTTGTCTGACTGAACAGTCAGTCCATTTTATAAACAATCTTCATATCGAAGAATTTCCAAACCTCTCATCTTATCGGTTTTTCACATAAGACTAACTAGTTCTTCTACTTCCTTCCTGCCTTTTCGTATTTCAAGTTAACTACTTACTTACGCCTGTTACCCTTTGTGGAGGAGCATAGGTTACTCACCAACATTCTCCATTCAACCCTGTCCTGGACAATCCTTTCCAGTTCTTTCCACTTGTTATTCATCGTTTTCATGTCTGCTTCCAATTCCCGACATAGCGTGTTCTTCGGTCTTCCTCATTTCCGTTTCCTTTCACGATTCCAAGTCAGTGCATGCTTCGTGATGCAGTCCGGTGATTTCTGTAATGTATGTCCTATCCACCAACTGCATAGTCTTTTCCTAAGTTCCTCTTCATCTGAAAACTGGCTTGTTCTCTCCTACAGTAGGCTGTTGCTGTCAAGTTAACTAAATATAAAATATCAGTCTAATTTTATCTTGAGTTTTCAAAATGAAATTGAATCTTTGTTTTCTTTCTCTTTCACTTCATGCCCTCAGACAATGTTTTATTCATTGAAGGGGGTTGAAGATTAGAAATGCTTGAATTGGCAAATAATCAATGTCTGTAATCTAAAATACGCTACCATTTATACATGCATTTTTGTATGTATGCTTAATTATATGTGGTTATGTGTACTGATTTGTCTGTTACTGTCATTCAAATAAGATCCTTCTAGATTGGGGAAACTGAATGCATGTATATATTCATATTTTTTTAAAAAAAAATCCAGTCATTTCCTGTCCTTGTCTCTTATTTCGTGATTAATCAATCAATTAGAACAAAGTATTGGCATTAGTTTCTGTTTATTGTAAATGAGATATATACTAATGGATATATTCATCATATATTATATCTGTTCCTATTATGTTCTCAGTAAGTAGCAATACTTCTAATAGTTGGTTTTCTTTATTTATCTCTTGTTATTTAACATCATCGGTTATGTAATAAGTTTGACAGTAACAATTAAAGTAAACTGATAAGAACTGAAATGTTTCATTTGCTCAAATTATTTATCTCTTTTTTTTATTCCATTGTTTCATTTTGTATAACACTCATGATTCATTTCTTATGAGGATGTAAACGTTTGATTCGAACCAACACCTGAACTTTCTCCCTTCATAAACTTGTTGCAGTAATAAAAAAAACTATGTTCTTATTAAGAAGGAAGTGTTTTCTCGGACAGTTTTCTTATAATTGACTTAATCAATTGAATTTTTGTCGATGTTAATAGTGGAATCTAGGTGTTCATGTTCTTTTACTGTCTGGGTTTCGTTGACTTGATATGTGTATATAGGTTCAAGTGTTGATTTTCATACTACTACATTCCTAGGTTCTATTGTTTGGAATGTCAACCGTTTTATCTACTCAGTTATTGAGTCACAAAAGTCATCAACCAACTCATTTCGATAAATGAGATTGTTTATATTAGTTATCAAAGTTTATATTTTTGTGTTCTGTTGATCGGATTTAATTTGATTAGTCTTTTTTGTTGTTGGTATGATAGGCTCTCTAAACAGATATCTCATCATGTTTTCTAGCTCTACATATAAATTATATTTTATATAGTAAATATCAGTAGTGAAATTCAGGAGGTATTTTATCTTATAATCAACCAACTATTCGTTATTACATAGTCTAGAAATAAATTCCATAATTCGTACATAAGTTCATTAGTTCTTCAACTTTCGATCTTCTTAGGAGTTTTTGTGGATATTATAGTAATTTCAATAGTTGAGATCATAAATCAATTGAAGCTAGATCACCATGGAAAACCTGAAAGCACTGGATGGCCGTTTCGTCCCTTTGGTATTATTTTAGTGAAAAGAACACGGGTTGGAACAATCGAATGTATTTGAGCACAAAATTACAGAGCATCTCAATAAATTCTGAGAACTATATAGTAAATGATTAATTTGCAAAATGTTTATCAATTGTCACAATTGATTGATCACTGGGTAGTGATCAATATTATGCTTGTCTAGTCCTTATTAGTGCAGATCGAATGCTATCGATCATGTTGCAATATGGCCACCAGTCTAGGTGACTCGACACTGCGGGCACTATGTATTGAGATTAGATGGTGGTTGGAGGTAGTCAACAGGAAACCCTGGACCCGGGTTTCGTGCTACTTGGCACTCGTCAGCAAGGTGTACCTGTAATCTTGAGGGAACTGTTGCTCCCTGGCGGATTCGATCTCGTGTCACCCAGCTTCACAGTCAGAGATGTTACCACTGGGCTATCCGAGCCGCGACTGACCTCCTGTAGGACTGAGATGTAATCACAATTGATTGATCACTGGGTGGTGATCAATGTCATGCTTGTCTATTCCTTATTGATGCAGATCGAATGCTATCGATCATGTTGCAATATGGCCACCAGTCTAGGTGACTCGACACTGCGGGCACTATGTATTGAGATTAGAGATTATCAATTGTCTCCAAATTACTCTGTCGTCATTGTTCTTGCATTTTTATACAAATTGCATTCCGTTTCCATTCTTTACTGTTCGATCCTCTTGTCTCTAAGCTGCTAGACATTCTGTCCCCGACTAGCGTCTTATACTACTTATGTCGATATAAGTAGCCCACACCACATTATTATTCATCATTACTTCTTACTTAATGATTTCAAATGAACCAGTTTGCACAATCTTCGTTTGTGTATGCGCCTGTGTGATTTAAATACTGATCGTTGTTAGTATTAGATTGATCGAAATTATGTATGTATATTCTGTTTATTCATTGTTTTGCAGTATGTTGTATATGAGACCAAAAATGGTCCAACTCAGTCAATAATGAATAATACTGATGAAACATTACAATATACTAATCCTTCTGTAATAATGAATATTCAGTCACAAATTCCACATTCCCAATATCGGTAAGTGTATATAGTTTCTAAAATAATTTTCTTTTCTAATATTTACTCTAATGGTTTCATCATATACATTCAGTTCATTTTACTTGTTCTGTCTTGTTTTTCTTTGATCATACTTGTTATACTGAAAGCCAAATGATTATTTTGAGTTTAGTTTATTGATATATTCTACTTTCTTGGAGTGAATGATCACTTTTAATTTATGAGTTGTATTTTCAAACTTCGCTTCATCCACATCACAGTGTTTTCAATTTTCATTAATTGGGTTGTATCCAGTAATTCGGATCATTTTCCTGTTCTATTATTTTATTTTAACACGTAAATATTGGTACAAAGAAGCGCCACACATATCTCATTTTGATATGTGTGAGGGCTGTGATACTACCCGGGTGCCCAAACCGAAGCAGTCTTAGTTAATGAGTGCTAAACATTAAAGCATAATTTTCATCAAAAGTTTCATTTCAGGCTTTTAGAATTAACCACAACTGTTTGCCATAAACATGTCCATGTACCAATACCTAAGTATGCTTAATGAAAAATTCCAAATCAATTAAAAGATGGGCGTCAAAATAAATTGTCTAATGAAAATTACACTTATATACACAGCAGTCACTCATTAGATAAACAGGAAAATGGGTTAAAGTACTGTGTATACAACATTAATTTATGGATGGTGAAGGTATAATAATGGCAAATGAGCACCTGTTAAGATTGAAATCAGATAAAATTACAGTGTACAAATTGATGAATCTATAATAACTGAAATTCCTGACGTGTAGTAATAAATAAATAGTTCAGTAAGATCGATACAATATATTTCTACAATATATCAAGCATTCTCGGACATTTTTCCATATAAGAGAACAATTCTCACTGGATAATGACTGACTCACTTCTTTTGCAAATTACTCTCTTAACTTTTACAATCACTATTACATCTAGGAGTAGACGGTAATTGGGTATAGATATCTAGTTAATTTTCTCTCCTTGTTAATGTTGTAGTTAATCTCTATTGTCACTCGCCTACGTGATTTGTTCTAACCCTTGGACAAGTAATCTATTCTAATCTTTCTACCTCTTCTCTCACCCATATGTTTGACTTTGCCAATTACTTACGTGTAGATTTTGATCATGCTTTATACATATATGTATACTAGTGCGTATGTGTCTGTAAACTTGTCTCTTTCATGCTTATCAAGACTGAGTCACCTATTACTCAATGAGTTGGTTTATCGACTTTCTCCATCTCCACTTCGCGTCTGTTAGAGCAACAATGCCTGTTTATTATCACCGTCACCTAACGCGGTTAATCTTAATAGAATATACGAAATCAAACGTAGGATTTATGTTTATGGTTCATGAATCATCGTTATGGAGTCAGATCGTTAGCTTAACGACAACTACATTTCTATTAATTCATTCATTGAGAAATCAATTATTTAATTCTAATTCATTTTTATTTGTATTCAAGAAATTCCCTGTAATTTTATGCTCAACTGACGAGTAATGCTTTGAATACATTTTCTAATTAATAATAATTGAATCTAATCGATATATAATTGACTTAGAAATAAATACGGAAAATTCATAAATAGGTATCCATACCAAAGTTCGATTTGATAGTTTCAAATAAATTGAACATTGGGTAGAGAGTTAATAATAAATATATTTTTGTTATATCCCAATGAGTATTTCTCACGTTTCGTGACTTAATGTTAGTCACTTCTTCAGAGTTGATGAGTAACCGATATTAAATTAACACAAGTTTAAATAGTACAAAGGAAACTATGCAAACTATGTGAGGGCTGGAATACTACCCGGGTGCCCAAACCGAAGCAGTAGAAAATTATAAGTTTTCTGTTGTATCTATCTGTCTATATGAATGTTATAAGTTTATAAGATTAAATAATTCCACCTTTTTATACAGTAATTGTTCAGATCATATTATGTAATAACTAACTGTAAACAATGAATTATTTTAAGCAAAGATGAATAGTGGCTAGCAGTGGAATCCAGGACGCGCATTTCATCCCATCTAGGACTCGTCAGCTGGATGTACCTGCATCTCAGAGTTGGTGTTCACTCCGGGACTCGAAACGCGCATCCTGAATTCCACTGTTAGCCACTATCCATCTTTACTTAGAATGCTTGTGAATTAAGGCAATATCGAGGCAATACACACAATATGCACATATGCTAATAAGAGACTGATCAATTGCAGTCCTAAATAACGATGGGAAGATACAAGTAAAACAACATCAAGTGAGGTGAATTCAGTAATTTCTTCGTTTAGTTTAATACATAACTATAAAGTAAGCTAAATATAAATAATGAACAATCGATTTTTATGTCAATGATGAAGTCTGGTGTCAGTTTTTATTGATAAACATAAAGACCTCCTTTTTTAAAAGAAACAAATTGACATTTCTAGACTGTCTTTTATATGATGAAGCTGTATAGATAAGTAAGATTTGAAGAAACATTTTAAAGGAAAATCGTTCATTAGTCTTGATTTTGTCATATTATATGTGTGTTTTGTCTTTTCTCTCTCTTACTGACAAATTTTAAAATGCATATGACATGAGAATATGTACAGGATACTTAATGAGCTACATCTAATTGTTAAGCCCCCAAATACCCTGGTACGGCCGAGAGTGGGAAGAGTCCGCTCTCCCCCTCGAAATGCTCTCAAGTAACCACGTGCATACAACCACTACTAAGGAAGTCCTATTCACTAACTTCTCGCACTAGGGGTGTTTTTTACGAAATTGAGAGGACGAAAAGCGAATGTCCGACGCTTTACCCGGGTTGGTGGACACGGAGAGTCTACCTAGGGGAGTCGGAAAACCCTGATTCCAAACCAATGGTGCACATGGTCTCTAGGATCCTGAGGGAATAATTGAAGTATGAATTGATTATGGGTCACCGACCACCATGGGACTACATCCCCTGACATTGCTCCACTGTCTTGTGGACCAGACCTTTAGGTCAAAGGCTCGGGGTGTGGCCCACTAAGAAAACCACCTGTTTCGGTTTGGGCACTCGGGCAGTACTACAGCCCTCACATAAATCAAATGAGATTTATGTGGCGCATATATATCTGTTGCCCCCTTGTACCAATATCTATGTGTTCAAATAAATAAATAATAAATCTTATGGTCAAAAATATTATCTAAGGTAAATGTGATAAATGAAGCTTTTACGTTCGTACAATTTCTGGCCTCTCATTTTCATTTAAAACACTTACTGAATTGATGAGTGTAGTTCAGTGCTTTACTTATTTATCACATGCAAACTACTAATTTGAATAACGATCTAAGTAACGCATGGTCTTATTCAAGATCTAAAGAATTGCCTCTAGTTCTTATCCAATAACATCGTGAGTTACTTTCGTGATTTAAAAATTTTCTAGGATCCCGTGTTAGTGAATGAACTCGAATGGTTTCTGCGATAATCTGTTCAGCTTGCTTTAGCGAATATCAAAATTTAGTTTTTGAAAAATTGTTTAGACAAACGAGAATATCCGAGAAGACTGAGAAACATCACCAAAACCATACTTATTCAAACTGAATTGTCTTTAACTCTTCTTCAATTAATATGAATAAGTCGAACGTGTGAAATAGCCACTATTTGGCAAATTTTAGGTTGACTGTTATCAAAATTAATCTTTTGTGTAGCTTAGTGATTGCATCAGTTAACTTTTCATGGAATACGTCGTCGGTTCAAGCCCACCCCAGCCTACTTTAGTTTGAAAAGCTGGATAGTATTTCTAACATACACATTGTTACACAATGTTGATCAATATAAACCAATACATTTGGCTGATGGGAATTACACTATCACTATTGCACAGCTTCAATTAATTAGAGAATACCTTTTCAGTGCAACTTATTAAATAACTGTTGAATACTTGTGAATCGTTATGTTTTTTTATAGATAGATAAGATAACCTGATTGTTTAATTAAATGTAGTATAAAATGACCGATGTTTATTTTTTTAAATAAGTCAAGTTTTAAGTGAATAATCAAACAATCTATCATTCTTCTATGGCTCTAACGGTAATTTGATTCTATTACATCCTTCTAATGTTTTTAATTTATTCTTCACCTTTTTCATACTCGTCAAGTGGACAATTATCCTCCTCACATTCGATTTCATCGTATACACTCTCTTCAATTATGAATTACTAAGCAACTTACTTTGAAACGGTGTGTTTGATATGCCGAAAGTATTAGACAGGTGTGCTTCTAGTTGGTAAATAGTGTTACTTTAGAGTTGAACATAATGTATCAATCTCATATGAATGAATTCGGTAATGATTTATTAACAGATAGTGGTAAATATTCCGCTAGAGAATGCCAACAACTTGTATGACTAGATGCTTTCGCAAATATCGGTTTACAAGTTTTCATGTTCAAGTCGATTTGATTCAATGTTTATTTAGTTATTGTTCACACTCTCAGTATTGGAAATGTTGTCACCACGTAGTATAAACATTAGTAGCTAAATCCACCTTTAATCTAAGTTATTTAAAAAAGATACCTCATATTGAAATTCAATAAAATGGACCAAAAGTATAACAAAAAAATTTAGCCTAGTTTCATTATTTAATGTAAGTTGCTTCTTCTGAATCCTACACAGACAAAACAACTACCTCTTGGCTTTCAGTGGTATCGCTGTGGTGTGTGCTACTTATATTGACATAAGTAGTATATGATGTTGGTCGTGAACAGAAGGTCTGGCAGCAGAAAGACAAGAAGATCGAACAGTAAAGAATGGAAACAGAATGCAATTTGTATGAAAATGCAAGAACAATAAAGTCTGAGTTATTTTGAGACAATTTGTGGACATTTTGCAAATTAAGCATTTACTTTATGATTGTTAGATTTTATTAACAAGTCCTTTAATTTTGTGTTAAATATATTCGATTGTCCCCACTGGTGTTCTTGTTCACTACATCACAACTGAGATCAATCCACAACGAAAACATTTTACTGGGAGTGTTTTTAGTCACAAGACAAGAAATGTATCAAAATTAGAAGTAATTCTATTGGTTGATATAATGTTTCATTTTCTTTTTTTTCACTTTCAAGTGAAGTCAGTAGTCAACCTTCTAGGCGTCCTCGGCCACCGCCACCACCTCCACCGCCTCGTAGTGGCAGTTGGATCGGTAAAATATCAGCTTCAGCACCTACAATAAATGATAATACAACGAGCCGACCATGTATTCAGTATGATCATGAACCACCATCTTCATGCACTGAAATCAAAGTGAACACATTCTCTGATAACCCCACTACTACTCAGTATATGAACCAACAATCATGTATTAGTCAAACGTTCCATACTAGTCCTTATAACAATACACATTCATCAGTTCCAAATGGTTCCGTTGGATTAAATTCATACTCGAACTTTAATATAAAAAGTCAGTTGCGTGAGTTTATATGTTTATCGTTATTATATGAAAATTCTTTTGAACAGACATCGTAAATACTGTATGAACTGGTGAAATTGTACATTTCATAGTGGCACAAATAAAGAAAATTAAGAAATATTTATATACATCCATTTATCGAGAAATATTAGGTATTAAATAATGTTCACGTCGAAGATAAAGAGTTGAATACATTTTTCTACATGGGCACATTCCAAACTGTGTCATTCAAGCTGTCTTAAGAAAATACTTGATTAGGTAATCTATAAATTGATATCAAGTTAGTTATTCATGACTATCGTAACCAATGGTTGGAGACTCTTGGTGATATGGCTCAGAATCGTTCACAATGGCGTAGGTGTATACACTCTCTGTCTTCCCTTAAACTAAGAGATTAAAATCGCTTCATATCTTTCTCTCTACGAACTAATAATCTCTTCCAGTACTATATCCTTATTGCAATCTTTCTTTTATATATTACTACTGAATTAACTACTTTTATGAATCCGGTGTTCATCTTGTTGTGTTAATGAGGTATGGCAACTTGGACCGATGCATAAATGTGCCTGGTCCTACGTTGTAGCTGACTGACTGACGTTAGTTATCTAGAGTAACACTGACTATTTAAGTTAATCAAAGATTTAAATCATTCCACACTTTGGAATTGAGGCAATTCTTAAACACCATGACTAGTGTGCTTGATAAAAGTGTTGTAATTCCTTTAAAACTACAATTTGTAGGATGAGTTCAGAAATGTGCACTAATAGATAATGATATTGATTTTATTTTTTTCTCTTAAATTTCTTTTTCCATTAATCTAGATCAATCATCTATTGATACCAACTATTCAATTGATAATTCTCATACTGATATACCAATTTCAAAACGTTCTATACAACAAGAACATCAACATAGAAGACAACAACAATCACATCAACAATATCAAAATCAATCTATCAGAATATCATCATCATCATCATCATCATCTAATGGTGATAGTTATCAACCATTGACATCGACGATCAATTCTTTGATGAATAATACAAATAATAATTCCAATGAACAACGACAACAGCAAAATTGTCAATATTCATCAAAACAATCATTTATAAATAACAATAATAATAGTCGTAAAGAAGTAATTAAAGCATTACTTAACTTATTAATATGGCATCATCCAGAAACTAAATTTACCGAAAATATGAATCCATCAGAAATTCATACATTTCACATATTCCTATTGAATTGGTTAACTAAAACAGATTGTTTACAAACTATTCCAATGAATATAAATACAAATATGTATGTGGCACAATTTTCCCGTCGAATATTAACACATTTAATAAGAATATTATATAGTGATACAGTGTATGAAGAAGAAACTACAATAGATGATGGTCAGACAATTAAAGATACTGAAGATGAAGAAGATACAATGAATGTATTGACTAATGAAAAAGAAGATGATGGTATTAATAATAATTCTAATCTTAATGAATTTAATCAGTCTTTGGGTAGGTAAACTTTATGTATGACTCAATTACATTCTCGTTGATTTTTTATAGTAATATGAGTTAATTATCTGTGTAAAAGTTTATGTACTAGGCTTTTTTTTAGCTGGTGGTAGGTGATAGATGGGATCAATTTATGAATGTTGAAAGTCAAGTCGATTTATTGCAATCTATACTATCTTTGGCGCTATTGTGATACTTACTTACTTACTTACTTACGCCTGTTACTCCTGATGGAGCATAGGCCGAAGACCAGCATTCTCCAACCCACTCTGTCCTGGGCCTTCCTTTCTAATTCCATCCGATTCTTGTTCATTTCTCTCATGTCTATTTCTATTTCTCGGCGTAATGAGTTCTTTGGTCTTCCTCTTTTGCTTTGGCCTTCAGGATTCCATGTGAGGGCTTGTCTTGTACGCAGTTGGGTGCTTTCCTCAATGTGTGTCCTATCCACTTCCAGCGCTTCTTCCTGATTTCTTCCTCCACTGGGATCTGGTTTGTTCTCTCCCACAGTACGTTGTTGCTAATAGTGTCTGGCCAACGGTTCCGAAGTATTTTGCGTAGACAACTGTTAATAAACACCTGTATCTTCTGGATGATGGATTTCGTAGTTCTCCAGGTTTCTGCCCCATACAGTAGAACTGTCTTGACATTTGTATTGAAAATCCTGACCTTGGTGTTGGTTGACAGTTGCTTTGAGTTCCAGATGTTCTTCAGTTGTAAATATGCTGCTCTTGCTTTGCCGATCCGCACCTTCACATCTGCATCAGATCCATCGTGCTCATCAATTATGCCACCCAAATATGTAAAGGTTTTTACATCTTCCAAATCTTCCCCGTCAATTGTAATTGGATTGATGCATCTTGTGTTGTATCGGAGAATCTTGCTTTTCCCTTTGTGTATGTTGAGACCTACTGCTGCTGCTGAAACTGCTGCTACACTGGTCGTCTTCTCCTGCATTTGTCGTTGCGTTCGGGATAGCAGGGCCAGATCATCTACGAAGTCTAGATCGTCCAACTGCATCCTAGATGTTCACTGTATCCCGTGCTTCCCTTCAGACGTTGACGTCTTCATGATCCAGTCGATCACCAGGAGAAAGAGAAATGGTGAGAGTAAGCAACCTTGCCTAACACCGGTCTTCACTTCGAACGACTTTGTCAACTGTCCTCCATGCACAATTTTGCAGTTTACTCCATCATAAGAATTCCGTATGATATTGACTATCTTCTGAGGCACGCCATAGTATCGAAGAAGCTTCCATAGTGTTGTTCTGTCCACACTATCAAATGCTTTTTCGTAGTCAATGAAGTTGATGTACAGTGATGAATTCCATTCAATTGATTGTTCCACAATGGTCCGTAGAGTTGCGATTCGTTCGGTACACGATCGATCCTTACGGAATCCAGACTGTTGATCTCGAAGTTGGGTGTCTACTGAGTCCCTCATCCTGCGAGACCAATAAGAACTCTAGGTTGCTCATACGGGTTTACGGGTCATTGATCGGATCGATAATTTACTGCTCTCTCATTGGCGGTCACAAGTTATAACATAACCCATATTTCTCAATCCATTCAGTCTATGGTGTAGCAGATGCCGTCGTTCAGTACTATCAGTTATCTATTTCTTAAAATAGATAAACACTGATCCCAGTTCCTTAAATAATCCCAGTCCTTACAATAAACATAGTTCATATAAAGATTGTGTTATCTTCCGGGTACCAACTCAAAGCAAGAAAACAACTTGCAACTTGACGACTCAGAGTGTTAACCCCACAAAGCAAGACATTTTTCTCAACAGATTCATTTCTGTGAAAACTTTGAAACCAATGTTTACCGCTAGTTTCTAGTGGCAAAATTTTCAATCTCTTGCTGAAAATATGTGTCTGCTAGCCCGGTTTAAGAATTAGACTTTCATTGTTGCCTTCTCATTTTTGTAGATTATACTTCGCTTTGTAAAGGCAATATTTCTGATTTCACTCCATTATTTACGGAATCATTGATCGCAGTTTTTATCTATATTTCTCAAACAGCATACATCAAAGATAAATGAATACTCAGTTATGAGCAACCTATAACCTGGTACGTATGTACATTTTTTCAATTCGCCGCAATACCACTACAGAAGGATGAAAATATCAAGATAAATGACAGCAGTCAAAGTAGATGTAGTATCAGTGATAGTAGAAACGAATAGGTGTAGGTAATATGATTAGGGGTAAATTGAAAAAATTCTCAGATAAAATAAAGACCGAGGTTAAGAGTGAATACACTTTTGGTAATCATTAAACCATTCGACTCTTAGCCGTAAGGTTGTACGTTGAAACTTCACTACATCTACTTTGATTTCGTTAGCTAAAGAGTAGTATCATTATGGCCATCCTGCAAATAATTTGTAACTCAAATTGATCACATAATAAACCTGTACTTAATAATGAGTTACATTAAATTCTAACATTTTTTATATTCTCATTTATTATGGAAATATTTCAAAGAATTAACTTCTCCTTTCTTGTCTAACTCTTCTTATCTTTCACAAAAAAAACTCAGGTTATTCATATGGAAAGAACAACTGGACAAAAATCGATGATAACACATCAAAGAAAACTTCCTGTTTAACAAACTATACAAATACGTCGATTAACAATGCTGACAATAGTAGTCTTATTAGTAATAGCAATAATTTCAGTAAAATTAATTTAACTGATTCCAAGATTCTACCACCGAATACATCTTTGATGGAATTGAAAGCTGCTGCTCTGGAGGTATGTCACGGTAGAATTAAAACCACATTCGTTTTCATTGTTTTTAACAGAACTTTAGTAATTAGATTTTGGTTGTGAAGATTGTTGAATCTCGTCAAAATCACAAACGCGATCTAAGTTAGACAACCATTGACAACCATGTTTGGTAGTGTTCATGAACCCTTCAGAAGCTCAAGGTCATCTGGAATGTTATAAATACACTTGATTTTTCTGTACACAAACTTGGAGTAAATCGTTCTTTCCCTATTACACGTCTTTCCTCTCACATTCAAATTGTCGTGTAGATTTAGTTTAAGGTTATTAGAAGAGCTTAGGAAATCGATTCAAGCGTTCAGATAGAAGATTTATCACTATTTATTAATTTTTTAATGTTCGTTTTGCTCTGTATTATGGTTATTATTTGTTACGTCATGAATTTATTAGTCGATTTCAACCAACTGCTACTAACCAATTTACGTGACCTTTGTTCCTATGTGCATTTATGTATGTCTGTGTATGATTAATACTGACTGTGATTAGTATCTGACTGATTGAGATTGTATACATAAATATTTTTAAGGACAATCTCTCTTCGAATCATTACGGTAATGATTATTCTATATATTCGATAATTGATATGGAGGTAGATGTTCTATCCTAAAGCAAACCAATACAAATAGTTTTGTATGTGAATGAATTGGGTTAACATTGTTTACAGTTTAGCAACACGAAAATTCTAGTGAAATAATAACACAACATTACTGAGAGGTCATCTTTGTTCAGTTTTTCAATCAGTCTGTCAATTTCTGCTGTAATATATTTATTTACTTCTGGTGTCAATTACTCCGACACACACACACACCACTGAACGAAACTGTATTTTCACAATTGATTGATCACTGGGTGGTGATCAATCTCATGCTTGTCTTGTCCTTATTAGTGCAGATCGAATGCTATCGATCATGTTGCAATGTGGCCACCAGTCTAGGTGACTCGACACTGCGGGCACTATGTATTGAGATTAGATGGTGGTTGGAGGTAGTCAACAGGAAACCCTGGACCCGGGTTTCGTGCTACTTGGCACTCGTCAGCAAGGTGTACCTGTAATCTTGAGGGAACTGTTGCTCCCTGGCGGATTCGATCTCGTGTCACCCAGCTTCACAGTCAGAGACGTTACCACTGAGCTATCCGAGCCTGTATTTTCAATTTATAATAATCAGTTAAACAATGAACGCTAGAACGCTATGTTTTACATGAATAATTAAAGTTAAACTCAATAGCGTGCATAGTATTGTATTTTAAATGGGTTTTTTTTTGGAACAACAGATCTTTCTGTTGTTGTTGCAAAAAGCTGAAAATAAAGTTAATAGACCGTACTTATACACGAACTTAACTTGACACCCATATACACAGACCATCACAACTACCATTCGATCACATCTTTAACATGGTCTCTGGAGATGTTGGTTATCCATGGGAATCATCCTCCTTCTATTTACAGTTGACTGTTTGACTTTATATTTGAATCGTTAAATTTTTCTTCTGGTTTTACTATTCTCTAATCTGTCTATCTGGACAAAATATATTCCAGTTAATATCTCGAATAGGTTATCACGCTAATCAAACTTGACGGCTGTATTTGTCAGAGTTTCTGTAATTAGCAATTAACCTGAGACAAATCTACACAAATACACTGGAATGTGGTTTATATCTAGCGAAGCGAAGACTTAAATATTCTATGATATCTGTATTACTTCAGAAATGTAAATTTTGACTATATATATAAATGTTTTGATATTATTTCTTAATTTTAACTTCAGGCAATTCAAAAACTTGCTCCATTATGTCAACCAGATTCAAAATTATATGGAAGAGATATGGGAATTATTCAATTGTTAACTTCCATTCATAGTTACAGTTTAAATTTAAGCGAACGTATCGCGCAGACGAATAATAATAATAATATCAATACTGGTGATAACGTTACTAATAATAATGAAACCATAGGGAACACAATGATCAGTAGAATATGTAATAATAATAATAATACAATGTTGAATATAGAGTCATGTACTGTTTGTCCAGTTGCTGAAGTTGCTGCCTTAGTTCGTTTATCATTTGATTCAATGCATCGAAATGCTATTTGTGAATTAGGTATGTTCTAAGACAGGAATTTATGCTTCATGTTTCTTTTTGTACTGAAAATTTTCAATCATTCTTTGTGTTTATTATGTCACTCCAAGGGAGAGCGGACTCTCCCCACTCTCGGCGGTATTAGGGCATTTGGGGACACTCCAAGATCATACTAACTCAAGTTTGTAGGTATTTAATGTACAACACAGTTGGTTACTTTTTAGTCATTTCTATAGTTAGCAAAGACTTGAAATGTCCATATAGATCCCATTTATTATCATAATGAGAGATCAACTTAACAGAACAATTCATGGGAATACAAATCTAAAATAAACATTTAGAAAAGAATGTGACAGAAATCAATCACTAACTTAATTAACAAAATGGATCAATTTAGTGACTGTAATTCATGAACGACCTTTGAGCGACGCTAAAGTAATCTTGAGAATGTTCACATACTAACTAGGACTAAATGAGGGTTATAAACCAGTGTGAGTAATTAGAATTATGATTTACAGTTGATGGTTAGGTTTAGGAATTCGATTTATGGTTTTCATCACGAACTGACATCAGCTATAATGCCAAAACGCCATTTAGCCGAATGGATGAGTGAATTTCGCGCTAAAATCCGAGACCTGTTATTCTAAATCTGATTGGTTCGTGAATAATTTAGGGTCTCGCCGCTAGTGATTAAACACATTTGTTAACTAATGTTTGAGGAAATTTAGAATTGAAAGTCGAGGGGGGAGGAATAATAGGATTGATGAGGGAGATTGATTATGAATACAGTAATCTTTAGTGCTGTTAAAGCTATGAGGGCGTTTAACACCTCCCGGTTGCTCACATCGTGAAAGGGTTCTTCTTGATGTGGCTGAAAAGGAAATTTGATTAGAGGTGATCTTAGTGACCTGAAAGCGTGACCGAGTGCCCAAAGAACAATTGTTAGAGGCCGGTCATACATGACCTTTTTGCAAGTACTTTTCGTGTTAGCTCCGTACTTGTTGAGACCTTACCACCGGAGCCGAATATCCGTGGCATAAAGAGAGGCGTGCATTTTTAGGGTCGTTGTTGTTTACGAAAATGAAAGGACTAAAAGCGAATGTCCGGCGTTTTAACCGGATCCGAAACCAATGGTGCACGTGGTATCCAGGATCCTGCGGGAACAAATGGCGTGTGAACCAATCGTTTATCACCAGCTACCATGGGGCTGCATCTCCTCACGATGCTCCACTGCCTTGTGGGTCAGGGGTGAAACCCCCTAAGATAACCACCTGCTTCGGTCTGGGCACCCGGCCAGTATCACAGCCCACACACACAAATACGTTGTGGCGCATATATATTTGGTGCCCTCTTGTACCAATATTTATGTGTCCAAATAAATAAATAAGTAAATTAGAGTCGACCTTTTCTCACCCTACCCTTCCTTCTGAGAAGACAGCATCGCTGTTATGCTGGTTGTCTAGAGGGAACACCTTACTGCTGTCACACCTGTATAGTCAGAAGTACAACATCGTCCTTGGACCCTGGGTTTGCTGCTTGTAGTCTTACCTCTCTTCGACCGACCTGTCTGGCATGGTAGGACCTTGAGGAATGATTGTTCCAGCCAGTATAGCTCAATTGATTCATCATGATAGACAAGCCCGACCACCAGGTCAATGTTTGTTGCATATTATTATCCTTCTATAATTGGAACATTGAACACTAGTTTGTTTTTAGTTTGTATCCTCTTCTATGTTGTTTAGCAACAACTGAAATACCAATCAGATAAAAATGGGTGAATGATATTCGGGTAAAATGAGATTACATTAATTTTCATTTATCAGATGTGCTCATACTTAATTAATGTACTCTCATAATGAGATTGTTTTGGGACAGCTCTTAAAAAGCACAATGAAGTTTTCTTTGTGAAATTCGGCTTAAAGAAAAAAGGGAATTCACATGCATAGAATAAATATAATAAGTGAGTAGTTTCCTAGGGAATTTAACATTCTCAAAATATAAGTCAGATCAATAGGAAATCCCGTCTTTACAATCAAATTTTCTGATAAATAATAACGCCCTCGTTATGCCGATTAATGTATTGATAGAATTAACAATCATGCGAATTATTCTATCAATGAATCAACGTAAGAAATTTTCATAAACCTAGAAATATCTAAATTACATTACTAACTACATACTTAAGAACTAGTTGACTAAGTCACTATACATATTGCATTACTACCAGTATACAATGCTAGTATCTCATGAACACATATATGTAAAAGTCAAACTTTGTCAATGTCCTCATATTGAATCGACTACTTAAATTACTTTTTTTAAATCCTATATAATAAATTGAGCTAACTTCACATTTGTACTAAAGCTAATATCAGATGGGTTTTTGTGGATATTATAGTAATTTCCGTGGTTAAGATCATGAGTCAATTGAAGCTAGACCACCACGGGAAACCTAGAAGCACTAGACGGTCGTTTCGTCCTATTGTGGGACTCCTCAGCAGTGCACTAATATATTGATTACAATCTTTTTTGATGAACTAATTAGTGAAATAAACTACTTTTTTCGTGTTGTAATTTAAATTTTTCATCGTCGTTTTTCTTTTTTACGCCTTTTTGTATCTAGGTGGAGTTCATGCTTTAATTTCTTTATTACGTATAGAACAAATGATGTGGTCAGAGTATATGAATTCATATAATAATGATACTAATAGTAATAATAATACTAACAATAAAACAGTATTACTATTATCATCAACATCATCATCATTTATACATAATCAAAACTTTGTCACATTACTAGAGAATAGTTTAGCATTGAGACGATATATATGCATGGCTTTAACAAATTTAACTTATGCTGCACCAGAGAATAAAGCATTTATTTGTAGACGTTTAGCTAATTTGGAAGCATTATTAGCTCAATTAGAAACAGGAAATGAAGAATTGAAACAGGTAATCTCTTTAAAATATTGCTGATATTTCTTCAATATTTATATAAATGGTTGTTTAATTAACAAGTTATGTTGAGATAGTGGAGAAGATTTGTAGCTCAGGTCGATGATTTTGGTGGAGTTTTGTTCTCTGAGCTGGATGTTTGGTCGTGAAGCTTTCATCTTTCTTCTGAACGACATAATCATCATCATCAACTTCACCAAAACAAGTTATGTTGTTTAAATTATATAATTTATAAAAAGTGCTAAATTTTGTAGTCTACATCATGGACTATATCTTCGGTTATCTGATTTTGGTGGAGTTTTGTTCTCTGAGCTGGATGGCTTGATCGTGGAGCTTTCATCGTTCTTCTGAACGACATCAGCACAAGCTTCAGATAGAAGTGAAGTGTTATCTGATCCTACTACTTGGTATAAAAACTTCCTATATGTTGCTTGTGTAATACAACTAGAAATGAGTAAGAATATTTTATTGACTAACCGTAATCGAAACTGTGGGCATAATTCAGTCATAAAAATACAGATCCATTTCACCCCCCCCCCAAAAAAAAATCAAGTCGCATATTCATTCAATAACATATACCTATTCACTCTGAAATTTAGGTCGAATATTGACCACTGGTGTGAACTTGTTATCAGCTCTCACTTATAACTTAGCGTATATATGTTTAGCCCAGGTTGTCATAACCATTTAAAACCAGAATGCATCGAACAGTAGTCTCGTCTTAGTATGGGATTCTTCAACAATGTACATCTTCAACTCCTCCAAGAGTCCAATCCACGAAATTCGGACCATTGAGTTGATGTTTAATGGTGCAGATTTCTAACTTCAATTTATTCGCGATATTGCACAATCACCTTTTAATGTTATCAGTAGACAACTGTTTCACATTCCAGATCGTTGAACTCCACTGATCACAGCTTTCCACCAGAGCTCTATGAATCACTAGTGATCACATTATTACAGTTAGTATGGTTGTTTTATAGATATTGTTGAAATTTACAAATTATGTTTTCTGGAGTTTATTTATTATTTATCGAAGAAATATAAATGTGATGTGTACAGTCAGTTATCTTATCAATAAGCAAGACTCAAATGTAGGTCAGAACCAAAGTGTATTATAACAAATTAATATGTGGCTGATGAAAGTCAATGTGATAGGCTTCTGAGTGTGGAAAATCACACTCCTCTTACTGACTATCAATTATGTGATTTATTTTCCTATTTACTCACTCAGTTTAACTGGTTGTGTGTTGGAAAAAGCATTATCTAGTCTTAATTTAGGTTCTCTATATTTGGTCGTTAATGTTGTATCTGGTAGAACATGAACCAGTCTGTCTATAGACCATCGACCAAGTTTTCAGTCTAGTAGCAAAGTACCAGTCATCGGTCACATTGTAGTAGTACACCGCAAAAAAACAATGTATTTTTATTCCTCCGTCATATCACAAATACAAAGAATTGAAGAAATATTTATTGTATCATACAACAGTCTTCCTGTCCACGCTCAATCGCTAGTCGCTATTCACTTCCACCGGATGTATCATATTGTGAGAAAAATCTCGATAAGCCTAATAGGTTTTGTACGTTAGTTGAATAAATCCTGAGACTAGTTTAACGCAAAAAGTGAGTATTCATCACGAAATGATATCAATCGTGGAACTTCCTCGTCATCAATGCCGAACCCGGAACCTTCGTCTGTCTTATCAAGTGCATTACTTCTATATCACTGAGTTAGAATCTAATGGTCACAGATTTACAGCTTTATTCATATCACAAAATACAGTGTATTCATTGCTATGTATTGTGTTATATCCCGACGTGAATTATGAATGGTAACTTCAGAGAACTATTTATGGACTAATATTGTACGTATATTCTTGTTGTATAACTATTCAGTAACTAGATTATGTATATCTATACTCCTCTTATTACAAGCTCTATTTTGACCTCTGGACTATTATTATGCGATTTATCGTTCTTAAGTTATGTCTAGTCTATTAATTACAGTCTCCCACATTCACAGCCAAATCTTGTACAAATGTTATTTTCTATTTTACGGTGTGATTTAGTCTGTTTGGTTTGTATGTAAACCCAATATGTTTGAAATACTTAATTCATATCACAGAGGCTGAGATTAGTGTTATGGTCTCAAAAGTCAGGGCTAATCAGAAAGGAGGACCGATAAGGACTGTAGACTGCTTGTAGGGATTTGTGCGTTATCGGTCTGGTCTGTCATATATTAATAATACATAAGGTCACAAGTTATAACACATTGTTATTATTAATGTTTTACTCACGCTATCATGTTTGAACTTCCTTAACCCAATTCTCTCTGGGTTTTACTGGTTTCCCGAACGAAGCCATTCGATGATTTAGAAAAGTAGTATCTCACATTATTCGTAGAATTATAACATTAAATTGTACATTCAGCTGACCAGTCCCAAATAGGACGAAACGCGCGTCAAACTGGATTCCACTGCTAGCCACTGTCTATCTTTCCATATAATAGTTGTAAATTAAGGCAATACACACAGTATGCACATATGCCAAAAAGAAACTGATCAATTGCAGTCATAAACATCAATGGGAAGATTCAAGTAAACAACAATACCAAGTGAATTAAATTATTTCGTCCAAAAATTATTATTATCATTTTATTGGTAAGTAGTGAGCAGAAGTTATGCTGTAGAGCGAAGAAAACGTATAAGTTGCTCTATTATTATTATTATTATCATTATCATTGTCATTATTAGTATTGCTGTTATCTATTCGGGTAATCTAAGTGTAAAGTACGACAATGATTTATTTTATAGAATAATTATGTTGGATACACTCTGATCAAAATCCATTTTCTAGAACATTTTATCCATCAGAACGACCATATCAATTACTATTATTATTTGCAATTATTATGAATGAATAGAGTGAACGGATGAATTATTTTCATGATTATATATTTACATATATATTTGATTGCTTCTTTACTTTTAACCTATTGTCAGATGGGTTTTTGTGGAGATTGTAGTAATTTCAATGGTTAAGATCATGGGTCAGTTGAAGCTAGACCACCATGGAAAACCTGGAAGCACTGGACGGCCGTTTCGTCCTATTGTGGGACTCCTCAGCAGTGCGCATCCACGACCTCGCCCCCTGCGAGATTCGAACCCAAGACCTACTGGTTTCGCGCCCTAGCATTTGACCACTAAACCACTGAGCCGGCATCCAACGGTGTTAATGTCTAACTTCAACTAATCCACGAAATTGAGCGACACATTCACCATTGTCTTCAGTGAGTTACTATCTCACAACAGACCTGGTTGAACTCCATTGATCACTACTTCTCACTAGAACTCCAGGATATACCTCGTAAAGCCAGTCAATAGTGAGCATATGCTGATTAATATTAGATGAGTTTTTGTGGAGATTGTAGTAATTTCAATGGTTAAGATCATGAGTCAGTCCTTCCAGGTTTTCCATGGTGGTCTAGCTTCAACTGACTCATGATCTTAACCATTGAAATTATAACCTATTGGTTTAATTTGCAAATTATATATTTGTCATAGATTGATCTCACTTTTGGATACTGTAAAAAATCTCAGAGATTTGAAGCTCTGTAGATTCGATCCCTTCCGAAATCATTGGTACACACTGCTGAGGAATTCTATGATAGGTCTCGGCAGTAGTGGTAATGGTTGGCATACAGATTCAAATCTAGTCTTACCCAACTATGTTTATCACTATCGTAGATAACCTTGAAATTTTCAAGATTTACTTCATTGTTTTACTAACTTTATGGTGAACGAAAACTCAAGTTGAGATGAGCAATTTATTGTTTAATGCACAATCAGTCAGTGGTTAAGTAAAATGTTGAAATCAAATGTCCAATACATCATATGCTACTCTTCTTCGAATTTTCCCTCACAAGCTTCATTGTTCCTTCATTCTTGTTGTTTTGACTGATTTCAGCTTCCTTCTCTCTTCTCTTCATTTCAATCTTCTCAACCTTCTGTTCGCAGATATTCCACTTCCGACTGATGTTACAGACTACTTATATCTGCGAACGTAATTAGCATAGAATACAACTGTACAGATGATTTTTTGAGGTTTTCAGATATCGATTTCTATCACTCCAAGAAATATACACACATTGAAGTATGTTAACTCGTTATCGGTTCACAACTTATGACCAGATATCATTTGAATTAGGCACACTAAAAAGCGTTTAGTATGGTTGTTTATATCTTCACGGAATGTTTTCACTAATTCTCTATTAAATGTTAATGTTGTCCTAATCATATTTGGACTGTGATACTTAATTACCATGCATCTGTAAGACAACGACAGGCTAATATCGAAGCAACCCCCACAGGATGCACGTATACCAATAAGAGGCTAATCCATGGCAGTCCCAAACATCATTGGAAAAATTTAAACAACCAATACAAAATGAGTTCTGGCAATGACTGAAGTTATTCACAACATTTTCAGTATGTTCACTAAGTGCATTGTATCCAGCAATTTCAGTTATTTCCAGTGATGATTTAGTTTTTAGCTCTAACTTTTTCCCTACTATATTTGTGTTCTGCATCTGACATTTCGGACTAAATCATATTGAATATGTTCATAATAGACAGCAATGGATAACTACAACCGTATTCAAGTGAAACTGATTAGCAAACTATTCACTATACTGTACACTAACTGTACTTTGAAAATAAAAAGAAGAGTATCGAAGGGTATGATGATAATGATTTCTGTAATGAATAAATATTTGATTTTGTTGTTTCCCTCCATATACTTACACATACATACGTTTTACCCTTTTTTTGTGTATCTTAGTTAATGTAATATCATTAAGCACACGAAATAATGATTAATTTGCATTGTCCCTTGTGATATTTATACAATTACACTTTGTCTCTTGTTTTCGGTCATTAATCATTTGTTGTTATGGTGACAATGATGATTGAACCTAGTCAGATGTGACTTTGTATTGTACACCATGTACTAACATAAATTTACCGAATAGTGTTTCTTTTTTTACTGTGTATTGTGAAAATTTTTGTTTTTAGTGCGTTATCTGTTTGAGTGTTTCATATATAACTATTAGAATATTCATTGATCTAGTTTTGATGAACTTGGTATTATGGTCAAAGTAAATCCTTGGCTAAACTCATTACTGAGAGTTGCATACTCACAATTTATAATATCATTAATAGTTTGAATACCGTTTTGTCACATAGCCATTAAATAACACAGCAATCATTGAATAGAAGTTTCTTACTGCATTTATGATTCCGTCCGAGATCGAACAATAGACTTTTAGATCTTTGACTTGGTACTCAATGACGGACATTTTGAACTTGAGTCTATTGAGAGGCCACCTTAACATCTTTCACCTCTCAGTAATTAGTCACTGTCAAGACAATCAAAGCTTTATAATTAAACCACCTAGTTCAGAGAATGCAACTCCGTCAAAACCAGTTGTAACATTTCAAATTGTGATGTTGGGTTACGTGGGTTGGAATTCTACAGAGAGTATTCATTTCTCCTAAAGCTAACCTGTTGGTTTATTTATAAAATCCTTCGTTTGATTAGTAGGATTTCTCGGTTCTGTCCTTCGAAATTCTGTAAGTTTTTCCTTTTAAACACTCGTATAAATTCAAGTGACTCGATTAGCTAGATACTTCTCTTCATAAAAGTTAATTGTGTACTGATTTTATTATTATTTTCTTGAAGTTAGTGAACTATTTGAAAAGTATTTCTGACTTCGTAACACCTTCCTACCGATAAAATTGTGTTATTTCTTGGCTAAATATTATTGTATTTATTCATATAAGGTTCTTATAAAAACCAACTCCTTTTAATTGTAGATATACTTAATTATTTGTATGAAATGTGTTTTTCTAGGTATCAGCCAGTGTATTACGCAATCTCAGTTGGCGTACAGATAGTAGAAGTAAAGCTTCACTTCGTCGTGTCTGCGCTGCGAAACGTTTAACTATAGCTGCTATGAGTGCACAGCGAGAAAGTACTTTACGAACTACACTTAGTGCACTATGGAATCTTAGCGCTCATTGTTCTCAGAACAAGCGAGCTGTATGCAGGTAAAGTGTACTTGTATTTACTTAATTTTAATACATTATATATATATATATATATATATATATATATATATATATATATATATATATATAAATGTTAGTACAAGGAGGCACCGAATAGATATGCGCCACATACATCATTCGATTTGTGTGAGGGCTGTGATACTGCCCGGGTACCCAAACCGAAACAGGTGGTTTTCTTAGGTAGCCACACCCACATCCTTTGACCTAGAGGTCTGATCCACAAGGCAATTGAGCAATGTTGGGAGATGCAGTCCCATGGTGGTCGGTGACCAATAATTGGTTCATACGCCATTTGTCCCTCCAGGATCCTGGAGACCATGTACACCATTGGTTTGGAATCAGGGTTTTCCAACTCCCTTAGGTAGATCCTCCACATCCATTAACCCGGTTAAAGGGTCGGACATTCAATTTTCGTCCTCTCAATTTCATAAGCAGCAGTAGTGTGACGAGAAGGCAGTGAGTAAAAGTTCCCTGACAGTGGTTGTATTCACGTGGCCATGTGAGAGCATTTGGAGAGGGAGAGCGGACCCTTCTCACTCAAATCGAATGAATACTTTTCAATCTGTTGTGTTATCGAGTGCAATGGGGCACCATAATGTTAACTGTTATATCACATGCTTCTACTTTAGTTCTGACTTACAAATAATTAGAATTTAGGAGTAAACATTTTCTTTAATCACGTAAGTCCATTGTCTGTCTTCATCATACAAATCAATTTGAAATAATTTAGAAGAAAATCAAGATTCTTTAGATAATATTTTTTAACAGTTAAAAGATGGATGCAATTCAAAATTCCGAACGAGGTCACCAGATATTCTTTGTTTAACACTATTCTGTGAAAGACATGTAGTATTATAAACTCAGTGGTTAACGCGTTGGCGTTTGTAGCATAAAGTCCTAGGTTCTAGTATCAGTGTGTATATCACTAGGATACAAGCATATCCAGTTGATAAGTAGGACGAAACACTTATTTTGGATTTGATTGCTAACTACATATTACTTAAATGTAATAATATCAGTTTGGAATATCATTTTAAACATGAAATCTAATCTTTTACTCGGTAATTCTTCATTTCAAGTGTGGACGGTGTATTTGCATTTCTTCTAAGAATGTTACGTCTTCAAAACCCTTCGCAAAATCTGGTAATTATTGAAAATAGTGGTGGTATTTTACGTAATATATCCACAATTATCGCTTCTCATGATGATTATCGGTGAGTTTTGTTTTCCTCTTTTTAAGTCATTTATTATGTACTTGTTATTTAGGTAGGAAAAATAATTCAATGTCCAGTTTCATTTTGGCTATATGTAGTCATGCTTAGTTATCTAAAATTGGTAAGCATCAAATCAACATGACTAAAGTTCTCTTATTCAATGCACATCACTAGCATTCTCTAAAGGTGATCACCTGATATATTCGCTCAAACTATGTTTCGGTACTCGCAGACCGTCCTGTTTTGACACTTGCGTGATAATTTTGATCAGTGATCAGAGAGATCCTCGGTAGTATGGTTTAAATTCAGTCCTAATGAAGAAAATGAATTCATTCACTATTATTTCCTTAAATCCTTAAGTTTCGATATCATTTCATATTCTTCATTCAGTGAATGTACTCCGTATTTCTAAACTCAATATTCTTTATGTTTGACGTTTGTAATGTCATTGATATTACGTTCTTAATGAGCCGACCTAGACGGATAAACATTTATGCCAATTCCTACGTAGATTATGACTATTCGGCTAAATAACTATCCGCATACTAAATGTAAACTTTAATACTCATGGAGTGAACTCAAGGGTGAGAAACTAATTTATTGTTTAGTTCAAAATTACACAGCGGCTTAGTAAAATAAGAAAATCATACATGAAATACATCATTGGCACATCTTTGCTTTGTTTCTTACATACTACATTATTCCTTTAAGTCTGTTGTTATTTTGATTTCTCTCCGATTTCTTTTCTGTTCTATTCCATTCAATCATCTGCTATCCGGCATAAAACTTCCGATTGTGGTTACATACTACTTATATCTGTCTTCATAAGTTGCATATATCACACTTACGGACACTTTTATGTACAGCTGTCAGTAAGTTATTTTTAATGTTTAGTTGTAAGATTTAGGTGGAATTGTGCAGCAATGACTCGATCATTTAATTTTTGAACACCGATTCACAAGTTCAAACAGTCTTTTAAATTTATTTTCCTTTAATCAACCGGGTGTCCTTAGTTTCTTCGCACAGTAAGTACAACTCTACGTCTGGCTTAAAACATTTATCTCCACAGTCAATCCAATAAACAATCTTTTTGATAATTTAGTAGGAGTGTGAATATCGGTTTAAAAGTTGTATAAGTTAGTTGATTCCTCGTAATGAATAAAACTATGCATTCTCTCTGTGTGTGTGTGTGCTTATTTATTATAATGAATGTATTGTTATCCATTCTGTTTGTCTTTAGGTCTATACTTCATCAAAATAATGGTTATCCAATCCTATTGGAACTATTGCGTAATCCACCAAGTTTAACAGTTGTAGTAAATGTATGCGGAACATTATGGAATTTAACATGTTCTTCCATCAATAATGTAAACACCATTCCAACTAGTAATGGCAACAACAGTAACACTACTAATAATAATAGTATCACCAATAGTTATAATGATCGTTTGCTTCTTTTACACTTAGGTGCATTAGATTTAATACAACAGCTAACTCAGTCCAAACATGATTTAATACGTACTAGTTCACTGGCTGTCTATCGTAATCTAATACAGACAGATAAATCTGCTAATCAGAATCATTTGATTCCACCAATATGTAATTCAGATCAAGTTAATTCACAAGAAAATCAACTCAGTGAGTCATCATCGCCGGTAACAACTAGTATGACCATAAATTCTCATGATCATTTGGTAAGTAATGAAATAAATGCATGCAGTACTACTGATGGTCGTAGTAGTGGTAGTGATACATCCTATAATGTCAATAATTCAGCACAGACAAATGGAGAACAACAGCAACCAACATGTAAACGTCGTGTATCATCAAGAACATCTAGACTTCGTTTTGGTCTATTATCTGTAGTATTTGAAGCAGAAAGTGACGATGAACTAGACGATGATGTCGATGATGATGTGGATGAAACGGAAGATGATGAAGTAGAGGTGGAAAATGAAGTTGAAGGTCAGACTTCTGAACAAAATCACTGTATTAATGAATACAATGAACAAATTGAATATGAGCCAAATAGCAACCTATGCTTATATTATCGAGGTGGAATACCTATCAGTGACCATTCTAACTATCGAGATATCGCTGTGAAAACATCAAGTAATCGAAATTCAGAAAGCTTATGTGATTCTCAACTTATGTTGCCTGAATCGACCAATCATCAACATCATTTACCAAATTGGTACGATGAAATAAATTGTCATGGACATCATCATGATAATCGTCGTGGTAATACGGTCGTTGATGCAGCAGCAAATGATGAACAAACATGTGTTTATGCTGAAGAAGGTACACCTTTTCCATCGAATTCAGCAACTGCATCATCTTTGGAGTTGAATAGATCTGATGAACAGTTCTTAATGAATAAAGCAAATACTAATTTCAATACTGTTAATGATGTACATATAAATCATAATAATAGTAATGATAACGATACAATACATCGTAATGTTCCAATATTGATCTATCGAAATGACCCAATTCCTCATGTTTATGCTATTGAGGGTACACCATCGAACTGTGATAGTAACTTAAGTCATGAGGATAGTATAAATGGCAGTGAAGTTCATTTGAATACAATTGGATTCAATCGCCCCCAAAAAATGAATTTTCTACCTCATTCCGATATTGTGAATGAACAGGAGGATAATGCCTACCTGCCCTCACCACCAGAAGATATCTCGAATCTTGTCTCTCCATTAACATCAATGAATTTAGAAGTAGAAAGTGATCAATGTGTAACTTGTCATTTCCCTATGCCACCTCCACCAGCATCTTTTCCAATAGTTCGTAAAGAATCTGAACTGACTGATAGACAAAGTGAATTATTCTCTTCTAAACAAACACCGTTGGTATTCTCACGTGGTACATCATCATGTATATCTTCGTTGGACTTGGAAGTTCCATTTAACGGATATCAATCATCACCGGAAAGTGAATATTCTAGTCAACAAAAAAGTAGTAATAGCAGAGAGAGAATAAGTTGTGAATTAATGTCAATTAATCGTAATGATGAAGATAACGGTAGTAGTAGTAGTAGTAGTAAAGGTAGTAAAAGAGAAAGTCATTTCAGAAATATAAATCATAGTCAAAATTGTGATGGCGCATTATATGAGACAGATAGTTGTCCTGATGAGGAAGATGTTCGATTGCCTTTCGCTGAAGAAGGTACACCCCCACCTCCAAAAGATGATACAGAAAATTTGAATACTTTGTATTTTCATCATTCACATTCTTACAACCAATCTGATATGAACAGTAATTTGAACAATGATTGTGAAGTGAATGATGTTGTTGATGATGATGATGATGATGACGAAGACGACGACAATAATGACAATAATACCCATTCACAAATACTACAACAATGTATAGCATCTGCAATGCCATCAAATATTCCTTTTAATGTATTAACAGGACATAAATCATCGAATATAAATTTCACTAACTCACCATCAACAAGTATTCTTTACAATGAACTAGAAGATTCTTTAAAAACATTCGCTGTAGAAGATACACCATTTGGGACTTCAACGAAAACTAGTTCATTAAACGATTTAATCATAACAGAACATAAACCATTAGAAGTCGAAGAAGAATGTGAGGAAGGTAACGAATTAGTGGTTGATAGTGAATTAAATTCCAATTCACCATCATCATTCAATATACAAATATCTAATCATCACACAATAAAGCATGCTTCAAATAATTTAATCAAACAATGTCATACAGAAAATGTTGCTGTCAGTCACGGTGATGGTAGTTCATCAACATCAAGCTCTTTGAATTGTGATAATTCATCAGATTTATTATCTGAAGTAATACAATCCGCTATGCCAAAATCTGGTCAAATTAGATTATCTAATTTTTGTTCAGTAATTGATCAATCATCGTCAAATGATGATGATTGTTTGCAAATGTATGCCGTTGAAGGTACTCCATGTGCTGTTGTTAATGAGAACTTATTGTCAAGTTCATCTTCTCTTCGTCATGATGAAGTAGGTATTCATTCAGCATTATTACAACAACAACAACGGATGCAATATTAATGACTTGTAATATGTCTTTAACTCTTGCATCACCATCATCATTATCAACTGTTCCATGTCAACAATCGAATACAACTCCTCCGATTCCACCACTTCGTACAACATCTGCATTAACTAGTATTGCAGATCCATTTACTCAAGTTTCTGGTTTAACAAGACCACGTGCAACAGTTGCACCAATGTTACAAAGTAAATGTCATTCATTAAATTCACCGATTGTTTCTCGTTCTCAAAGTAAGTATTATTTGAACGCAATAAACTTTAAAAAAAAAACAATTCACCGAGTGTAGGTTTTTGAAAATCCTTTATGCTATCTATGCTAATGCTGTATTACTCAATGGCTCTGTTATAATATCATTTAGTGTAGAAGGCATAGGTCAGTGGTAGGCGTTCGATCACAGATATCTGTGAAGCATTACTCGCATATTGTGAAATGACTGAGTGAGAAATACCGTGGTTAGGCTGTCACGCGTGCCGATCCTCAAGGCCACCACTAAGTTTTCTTTCTAAACTATCTCAAGAGCAAATATCCTTCCAGTCTGTAGATAACCGAAAAGTAACAACCGCCCACACACATGATACCACTCAAATTCATCTCATTTACATTTTCATCCGTCGATCACTGACTGAGAAATACAATAACACCGTATCATTTTGTCTGCTGCGTTGTACTGTTGGGATTTCACAGATCGCTTTGAGTATATTTAGATTAGTCGTAATCTATTTGCTGGAAACTTTGACGAATTTACCTTCAAATCAGTCTTTTTAGTATAGTTGCGTTCACTTCTCAAAATCTTCATTTAAGGGCTCTGAGCTTATTTTCAATTTTGTCGTGTTCATTTGTTCCATTTTTTCAACAATACTGCTATCATTACAACTTTTGCTGTTTTTCAACTTGTCAATCCTCACTCACTATGTTGGTTTATGTGGTAGCATTTTTAATTGATATAAGTTTGTTGTTTATGAATGACTGAATAACTTTTCAATTTACACTTTACCTAATATACTTGACACTGTATTTTACAATTAGTTTACTGTTACGATTGGCTAAAAGCGGTCGACATAAATTTTTGGGCTCAGGTTTCATGTTTGTTGATTTGTTTATGAAATCTTCGAATATTTGAACAAATGGGATTTATCAGAAGGGGTTTTGTGGAGATTTTAAAAATTTCTCTGGTTGAAATCATCAGTCAATCGAAGCTAGACCACCATGGAAAACCTGGAAGCACTGGACGGCCGTTTCGTCTTAGTGTAGGACTCCTCAGCGGTACGCATCCACGGTCCAGCTCCCCGCGAGATTCGAACCCAGGACCTATCAGTCTCGTGCTTTATTTATTGCCAATTAGTAGGTTTTCAGTCTTGAATTTATGTTCTGTGATGTTTACCCGCAAATCGGAATCTATGAGGACTGCATAAAATGTTTTTTGGTCATATGGATACGTCCTGCTTATAAGTGGCAATCAGAGTAAAACCAAAGTCAAAAGTTTCAATCCGATTGCCCCGAGTAATCTAGAATCGTTTCATTTATGAAACATCTCACGTTTTCTAGTACACTACATACATCTCAGCACGGATACAGAAGGCTCGACTAGCTTTTGCCAACTTGCGTCATTTATGGCGTAGGCGAGATATCCGTCTATCAAACAAAGGACGTGTTTACTGAGCAACAGTTCGTTCTGTCCTACTTTATAGCAGTGAAACATAGGCGGTTAGAGTAGAAGATATTCGTAAGTTACTAGTATTCGGTCATAGATGTCTTCGAAACACTGCTCGTATATCCTGGGACCACCGAGTAAGTGACGCAGTTGTTAGGAAACGGATACATGGCACAAATACATGAAGTCATTGACAAGTGAACTGAATGAGCCATGTTGGTAGGTGTAGACTACCTGGTTGGGATCCGCGAGACGATAGCAACCGATGGTTAGAGACCTTGAATGACATGACTCAAAATCGTTTGCAATGGAGCAGGTGCAGGTGTTCTCCCAAATTATAATCTTCCGAATTTTTCATGTCCTTTATTTTCTTTCCAAATTTATTTCACTGGATTATACTCTTTAAATAATATCTTCAAATCCTAATGTTTCCGATTACTGCTTATACTCTTACTACCTCTACCACTATGGTATTTGAATCGATAACTGCATCTGTGTGCCGATGTGGTATGACAACTCGAACTGATGTACGTACTTACGAAGTTCTACGTTGTTACCGACTAACTGACACTACATACTTTTTTGATCATTTATAAACTTAATCTTGTGTCTTTGATTCAGATATATCAGAACAATCGTCGAAATCGTGTTTAAATCAGAATGAAAGTGGACAACAGAATAATGATAGTATACTTTTACCGAATTCATCAATACCATCGTCATCATCATCTCCGTTTCAGTATACCGTTGGTGACAAAGACGACGTTAGTTCTTTTTCTTCACTACTCAGTATTGAATCAGTTGGCATGGAACATTCGTTATTACAAGAATGTATATCATCAGCGATGCCACGTCCAAAATCAATATCGATGCTTCGTAAACAGCAACATTGTCAACAGAAAAAACAAACGTGTCAACAGTCAACATCTTCAATATCATCATCATTGTCGTCGTCGTCGTCTTCATCGTCATCGTCATCATCACAGCAGCAACAACCATCAGTATCACCGTCATTAAAGTTGGACTCGACGGTGCATGAATCTACAAATCCCTTTGAAAACAATAATATTAGTAATAATAATAGTAGCAATAACAATAATGATAATGTGGATTATTGTAAATCACGTAAACATGAAGAGGCGATTAATCATTGTCATACGTCATTGTCATCGTCGTCATCATTACCGTTATCTAAAATACATCCGTATAGAGAATTATCTGTTTACAAAGTACCGACAACTTTATCATGTACATCATCAAATCCCAGAGCTCAATATTCACAAGATGGTAGTAGTAGTAGTAGTAATAGTAGTAGTATTAGAAGTAGAATTAGTAGTAGTAGTAGTAGTAGTCGTAATATTAGCAATATCTCTCTGAAAAAGTCTAAAATACCTGGTCATAATTTGAATAATACTACTGTTGCAAAGTCGAGTAATAATAATATCACTGCACAATCTTTTAATAAGGGCGCTGGTACAATACATTTTTTAGATCATGGCTCCGACGATGCACAACAACATCAACAAGAAATTTCGTATCTGAATGTGAATCCAGCGATAATGAATAATACAATAACACTTAAACATAATCATGCATCTACCGGAGCGCCTATCACTTCTGCTACGAGCACCACTGTTGTCACTGTGAATTGCAGTAGCAACAATAAGATTAGTAGTATTATCACTTATAATCAGATGAAGCAAATTCAAATGACAAACAAAGTTAATTGTGCATCATTCGGAGCAGACATCACAAAAGGTAAGTACCGTAATATGTATACCAGTTTTGATGTGTTTTTTCTCAACGTGATTTAATAATGTTAATTTTACTATTTAGGTTAGTTATAGGCAGACATGTTTTCTGATAGACCTAACACAATTCACTTGTCAGTTCATGATGACTAACCTACATCAAGTGCTGTTTACTGTGTGCCGATTCTTCAAACTAATCTATGTACTATGTGAAGCGATTTTTTGAAAAATCAACAGCAGTTATATGTTTTGCCATCAAAATCAACAAGTTTTTACTGTGAATTAACTTCGTTTATTTTAGTTTTACATCATAGACTGAGCTGAATTGGAGAACTATTAGAAGCCAATAAGCTCTAATCAGTTGTTTTGTTCTAGTATCGGATTCTAATAAGAAATCTCAATTAGTGGTGTTCAACTATGTCGAGTACGAGGCAGTTAACCATCAAGTACATTAGAAGATGGTTACATGATATTACAAATTAATTGAAGTTAAGTATGATAACCAGTGGATCTCGGCTCAGTGGCTTATAGCTTAGTCGTTTGCATGCAAGATCAAAGGTTCTGAGTTCAACCCCTGTTGACGAAGTCGTGCATACTCACTTTCGAAAAGCCTTGAACAAATACTGTGGCCCAATGGTGCACTTAGTAAATGAGTTGCGTCATCATCATTTGGGATAAGTCTTCCATCAAAATTTTAGTGAAAAATTCCATAGAACTTAGACGTCATTGAATATCACAGCTTAGAATCCTAACCGAATATAGTGATTGATAGGGTTTTTTGGTCCTTATGGCTTGTGCAATTCACTTTAATGGATTATATATGTATATATAAACTTCTATGGGTCTCTTTCTAAATTTACCTTCAGCTGCAAATCACAATAATTCGAAATTATCCTTAAAATGTAGTAACAATAATAGTAATAGTAATAGTACTGAAGATGTATATCAACATTATGAACCCCGTCGTATTACATCAACTTCCAACAAAAGTTCATTACCGTTAAACAAAGCAAAATCTGGTTTACGAGCACCGTCGTCCATCGTATCTAAATCATATGTTGCAATGAACAACAATAATTATTCAATAAACAAACAAGATATTGATATCATTGATGTACTTGATGCTAACGATATCAGTGAAATACTTCAACAAGGCGCCAAAGTAAGTACCATTCAGTAGAATTAAATCGACAGGGTTTTTCGTTTTTGTTTCCTGACTGTATAGCGAATTTATTGCGTAAATGATAGTAAGTGTTTTATTCTCCCTATTGTCTAGTATTTGTTGGAATAAATTGCTTCACTCAACCTTTCCTAAATCAGTCCAAGAATTTCAAATATACAGTATTGATGAAAGCATTTAAGTTTATACGGAATTAACAGAAGAATCTCATAGCATCCTTTTAATTCGTCCATTAGCCCTGGTTGATTAAAAGTTAACCAGTCAACATACTCGCGTTTTAATTTGATTATGCCAATATGGCATGGTCAAAACTATCCTGTTAGTATTAAGTTTCAGTGATTCTATTTTTCTTTAGATAGATGATAATCTAATGAGCGTTGACAACTTCACTTATCTTGGAAGTCCGATCAACCCTAATGGGTTGGTGTCTGACGAAGTCTCAGCACGTATTCGAGAAGCTCGCTGGGCTTTTGCTAACCTACGTCACTTATGGCGAAAGCGAGATATCCGTTTGTCAATTAAAGGACGAGTATACTGCACGGCAGTTCGTTCTGTTCTACATCACGGCTGTGAAACGTGGCCATTAAGAGTAGAAGATACCCCTAATTCACAGATGTTTTAGAAATATTGCTCGTATCTGCTGGGATCACCGGGTAATAGTGAGGCTAGACGTATGGTATTAGGGAATGATGTTAATTCAGTTAATTGAGGTTGTGAATCTTCATCGACTGAGATGGTTAGACCACGTGTTACGTATGCCTGAACACCGATTACCACGACACATTTCTGTTTAGTCTTGGAGATGGTTGGAAGTAAGTTAGGGACGGCCAAACCAAAACGTGACATCAGTCTTTGAAGTCACTAACTTCTAGTCTGAGCCATGTTGTTAGATGCAGACTACTTGGTTTGGGTGTGTGTGTCTATCGTAACCAATGGTTAGAGACTCTTGGTGACATGGCTCAGAATCGATCACAATGGCGTCGGTGTATAAACTCTCTGTCTTCCCCTGAACTATGAGATTGAAATATCTTTTTGTCTTTCTTTGTACGAACTAATTATTTCTTCCGTCACTATGTCCTTATATGCAATCTTTCTTTAATATATTATCACCACTGAATTAACTACTTTTCTGAATCCGGTTTTCATCTTGCTGTGTTAATGAATTATGGCAACCTGTATCGATGCATATATGTGCTTGATCCTACGTTTTAGCTGACTGACTGATTGTTTGTCTGGACAACACCATCATTTTTATTATAAATTTCTTTTAAACTAAATAAGTTTTTAGGGCAGTTCTGTGTATCTCCATTCTTTTTCGTTAAGTTTGTCCTGATTATAATTTTGTTGTTATACTCTAATTTGTTCTAGTGTTTGTTGGGGTTGTCTTTTTTTTGTTTTTTTCAAGTTAAGCCATTTTATAATCAACCTTACGTATTTTAATGAATCTTGAAATTTGGTTGTTTTCTTTTCTAACAAAGAAATGATTATGAACAATACAGGTCAATATTTCAAAATAGGATTAGCTTTCACAAGTGTTTTGCATGATCGCTTAACTTTTATTTTATGTATACCATTATTAACTATTAATTATAGTTCTTTAAAGAGATTATTACATACTGGGAACAGAACAGAACAGAAAAACTCAAGTGTAAAGCATACAATTTCTTTTTGTAGTCATTAAATGATGAATTCATTATTTAACAGATAAAGCAACTAACAAAAGTAAGGGAAAACTAGTAAGGTATAATGGATTGTAATCTAGATTTACGCAATAATTTTGTGAATGATCTCAAATGCTGTTAAAGGTATGATGACGGTTATTGCTTCCCGATTTCCCAAATCGTGAACGAATACTTCTTTTTATGATACTTGAAATACCCTGGTAAGACTGAGAATGGGAGAAAGTCCGCTCTCCCTCTCAAAATGCTCTCACATGACCACGCGTATACAGCCACTGCCAGGGAAGTCCTACTCATCTCCTTCTCGTGACACTATTGTTGTTTACCAAATTGAGAGAAAGAAAAGCAAATGTCCGGCGCTTTAACCGGATTGGTGGATATGAGACTCCCATCTATGGGAGTTTGCAAACCCTGGTTCTAAACCAATGGTGCACATCGGCTCCAAGATCCTGAGAGAAAAAAGGCGTACGAACTAATTATTGGTCACCGGTTACAATGGAACTGCATCTCTTAACGTTGCTCTACTGCTTTTTGAGTCAGACCTTTAGGTCGAAGGTTCCGGTTGTGATCCCGTAAGAAAACTACCTGCTCGGTCTGGGCACCCGGGGAGTATCACAGCACACACACAAATCAAGTGACTTGTGTGGTGCATATGTATTCGGTGCCCCTTTGTACCAATGTTTATGTGTACAAATAAATAAATAAACAGTCTTGAAGACAAAGGTACATGATCACAGTGATTAAGGGACAACTGCTTGAAGTTAGTTAGTTGTTAGTAGGTTACGATGTCTCACCACTTTACTTTTTACGCCTTAATATCGTCATGGAAAATCCATGGAGCAAAGTCAGCTGCTCTATTTTCGAGTCGTAGATTTTTAAAAACCCGTCTGGTTGTAAGAAGACAACATCGTGTCGAGTGCGATTTGTTTGAAGAGAAACACCTTACCACCACCACCACCACCACCACCACCATTCAGTACAACTAACATTATGGCTTTGACCTTATACTTTAATTTTCTTACTCTGCTCTTCAACAAATTCATCTAGCATGGTAGGATCTAAAAAAAATAAACAAGTATTCCAGCCTGTTTTAACCTGAATGGATCATCATAATCAGTAATATCAATCACCATGTCAATGTAAGTGCTACGAGTGGATCAACGATAGGCAAAGCATTTGTAAATGAAGACAGAGGACAACAAAAGACATTCATTAAATAGTCATTAAGCAAAATAAAGATGTTTCAACGGAGAAAATTTTCTTTTTGACGATACCATTGACTAGAACTGTGTAATTTTATTAATCTAGTTCTTTTTCACGTACATTAGTCTTTAATAAGAATAGAACTACTGCATCATTCATTAGCAGTAATATTTTTTTTAAAAATCAATCCGAATTCTAAGTTGCGTAATAGTTTATAGTAATGAATTAACACATAGAAACATGGTACGAAGCGATACGTGTCAAGATAAGATTTAGAAAAAACAATTATTCACTTAGAGAATATGAAATGATGACAAAGAGAAAGCAAAAATGTGTTAAGAAATAATTAACAAAATACGAAAGAATGTTAAGATCATGGTAAACTAGAAAAGTTTGATATAGCAAAAGAATATATGTGTTTCGCTTTAAATTAGACATTAATACTGTTGAATGCCAGCTCAATAATCTAGAGGTTAAGCGTCCTTGCGGAAGATCGGAAGTTCTTAGCTCGATTCTCACGTGCGGGATTTTAAATGCGTATAGCCGGGGAGTTCCATGCTAGGATGAAACGGTTATCCTATGCTTTCACGTTTTCAATGGTCGTCTAACATTGATCGGTTCATGATTTCAATGAAATTCAATAATCTCCACAACGATATACTAATAAATAATTACATGTTTTACTCCTTGATTTATCTATTTTTCAATTACTGACTGCCAATGTTAGAGTAGTAGTCCATCAACATTAACTTTTCTCATTCCATTACTAATTATGAATATTTTATTTGAATGTTTGAGATCATGAGTCAGTTGAAGCTAGACCACCAACATATGAAATTACTATAATATTCACAAAACCCCTTCTGATATTAATTAACATATTCTCACTTGTGACTAGCTTCAAGAGGTATATCCTGGAGTTCTAGTGAGAAGCAGTGACCAGTGGAGTTCAAGCAGGTCTGCAGTGAGATGGTAACTCACTGATGACAATGGTGGGTGTGTCGCTGAATTTTGTGGATTAGTTGAAGTTAGACATTAACACTGTTGAAGTCCGGCTCACTGGTTTGGTTGTTAAGCCCTGGGTTCGAATTTCGTGGAGGGGGTGAGTTCTTGTTTGCACACTGCTGAGGAGTCCCACCATAGGACGAGACGGCCGTCCATTGCTTCAAGGGTCTCCATGTTGGTCTAGCTTCAACTAACTCATGATCTCAACCGTTGAAATTACTATAATATCCACAAATCCCCTTCTGATAATATTTTATTTGTCTATTCAATACCCTTGTGTCATATACAGTTGATTTTCTTAAATTCAAAGTTTAATTATTAGTGTAAATACAAGAAACAATAAACTATTTTCTCAATCATTTTATTTCTGACGTTTCGTAACTTAATCTAAGCCACTTCTTCAGAGCAAATAAATAATCGAAATAAATGAACACAAGTTTATTTGGAACTATCTAGTCCAACCTCGGCATTGATACCTATATTGTTTTTTTACAAAATATTTGTATTTGTCAATGTTCCAGTTACATATGTTTAGAAATTCTTTTCTTATTCTCTCTCCTTACTCTATTCTCTATCCATAACTAATTACTTTACAAATAGGTTATTGACTTTGTAACATAACAATAATAATAATAATAATAATAAGGAAATTGGAAAAAAAATAGGGGGTAAATCATTTTTTTGTTGTCCAACAATTCGTTCGAAACTATTGTGGTGATGATATAAACTAATTGATGTGTATTGTTGCACAAATGAATAATTCGTTAGATTTCTTGTGTTCAATTTATATTTATATCAATTTCTTTGGTTATTCATTAACTGACTGTTATCTACTTAGTAGGTTATGTGAAGACTTTCGTACAAAATAACATCTATTAGAAAATCTGTTAGGGATTCGAAAAGGTCGTTTGGCTTTTGCCAACTTCTATGAATCCGGTGTTCATCTTGTTGTGCTAATGAGGTATGGCAAGTTGGAGCGACGTGTATTTGTGCCTGGTTCCTATGTTGTAGCTGACTGATTGGAAAATCTATCTACAACCATAAAGCATTAGTGAACAGGTCTGTCGTTGCAATTTAAAGATTTTTCAAAATTTTTTACCTATACTTGGGTAAATGATCAAGTCCGAGATAGTCAGGTTTTTTGTTTAGTAAGATATCACTCAATGAGTTATTATCTTCAACTTGACTTACTTGACTGTACATTTCACAACGCTTTCTATTGGGACTTCGTGAAACCTATTTTAATACTATCTATAATCGATCAAATGATTATCATCAATCAAAGTTGTCAATTCACTCTTCTCAGAAACTGTTTTATTTCATTCATAGTTATTCCCCAACATCTCTAATCATTGTTCTACCCACTCATAAATTCCGTCCATTCAACCCTAATTCAGTCAATTCATTAGACATCAGGATAATGAAATGCACAGAAATTAAGCTATTGTTCCAGTTATCTTTTTTCTAAACAAAATTTGTCAATTATTTCCCATAATTGTTTTCTTTTTTTTCCTCAGACTGTTGTTTCAGATCTAATGAAATCATTAAATGATGTCAATGAAAAGCAACATGATTCTAATAACCAACTAGTTACTGATATCGCTATTACTACTGATAGTAATGATAATAATAACTCTCAATCAGTTAGTAATGCTTCCAGTTTAGAACTTTTACCAAAATTCACCGACTTGGAACAGTCTATTCCATTCGATAATGATGATGATGATGATGATGATGATGATGATAATAATACAAAGGCTAATAATAATAAGTCCAATAAAATGATTGTAACTAAATCAGTGGAATCGAGTAATTGTTCACCATCTCCTACATGTGTTACTAATCAAATATCAAATAAATCATCTTCTACATCTAATATACAATCAGTGAAGTATTATCATCCACATCAATTGTCAAATAATAAATTAAACAATTCAAAATTCACTAACCATACTACTACTACTACTACTACTAATAATAATAATAATAATAATAATGTTTATGGATTAGAAAAGACTGTAGTGTCACCTATTTCAAATCAATTCTCTTTAAATAAATCAACCAGTATTATGAATAATCAAAATGACAATGGTAACAAGAAAAACAATCCAAATATTCGAAATAAAATTCAAGTAATTTTATGAGTTTTTTCTTTATTATTATTATGTTACTTTTTTCTACCTTTCGATTCTATTGTGGGATTCCTTAACAGTGCGCAACCATGATCCCGCTCGCGTACACAGGGCCTTCAGTCTTACACGCGAACACTCAACCTCTAGACCGTTGAGTCGGCAATAGGACGAAACGGTCGTCTAGTGTTTTCAGGTTTTCAACGGTGGTCTAATATCAATCGGTTCATGATCTCGATCAAAAAAAACTTTATAATCTCCACAACCCTATTAGTTGAGAAAAAAAGAGCTGTGGACCAATGCATCCGACTGTTTGATACTCTTTAATCAAACATATCTACATTTTTCGATGAATTAATGCACCTCCCTGTGAGATTTACCCCAAATTATTTTGGCTAATGATCGGTTAGCATTATGGACTAGACAGGTGTGAAATTAGCCATCATTCCGGTGATGAATAATGTAAATATCTCAGTCCTACAGCATGTCGGCAGATGTGAAGGCACGGATCGGCAAAGCAAGAGCAACATATTTACAACTGAGGAGCATCTGGAACTCAAAGCAAATGTCAACCAACACAAAGGTCAGGATTTTCAATACAAATGTCAAGACAATTCTACTGTATGTGGCAGAAACCTGGAGAACTACGAAAGCCATCATCCAGAAAATACAGATGTTTATTAACAGTTGTCTACTCAAAATACTTCGGATCCGTTGGCCAGACACTATCAGCAACAACCAACGGTGGGAGAGAATAAACCAGATCCCAGCGGAGGAAGAAATCAGGAAGACGTGCTGGAAGTGGACAGGACATATTGGGGAAAGCACCAAACCACGTCACAAGACAAGCCCTCACATGGAATCCTCAAGACCAAATGAGGCGAAGAGGAAGACCAAAGAACACATTACGCCAGGAAATGGAGATGGACATGAGAGAAATGAACAAGAATTGGATGGAACTAGAAAAGAAGGCCCAGGAAAGAGTGGGTTGGAGAGTGGTCGTCGGCGGCCTATTTTCCATTAGGAGTAACAGGCGAAAGTAGGTAAAGTAAGTAAGTAAGTACAGGATGTCAGTAACGGCTTGAATTGCTCCATGAAGTCACTGACAAGTGGACTGAATGAGCCATGTTGGTAGGTGTAGACTACCTGGTTGGGATCCGCGAGACGATAGCAGCCGATGGTTAGAGACCTTGAATGATATGGCTCAAAATCGTTTGCAATGAAGCAGGTGCAGGTGTTCTCCCAAATTCTAATCTTCTGAATTTTTCATGTCCTTTATTTTCTTTCCAAATTTATTTCACTGTATTATACTCCTTGAATAACATGTTCAAACCCTAATGTTTCCGATTACTGCTTATACTCTTACTACCTCTACCACTATGGTATTTGAATCGATAACTGCATCTGTGTGCTAATGTGTTATGGCAACTCGAACTGATGTACGTACGTACGAAGTTCCACGTTGTTACCAACTGAATACTGACTGAATGGCTCAGTGGAAGCGTCCTAGAAGGATTAAACTGCGTCATAAGATGATACTCCAGTCCCGCCAGGGTCGTAGATACACCTTGCCAACAAGAGCCAACTTGTGCGAAACCTAGGTAGTAAACCTTACTCCCAACTATCTTAAACCGCCTAAAGTAATCACTAGTTATGGTTTGTGAAGTAAGAGCTTATCACAGTGGTTAAACATCAAGGAGCATTGGACATTATTTTATCCATAATATGAGGATATTCCTTATCAGTATTCACGTGAGATTCCCACGGATCGAACACCGGAGCGTCAATTCTCACAGTAAGTTTATTTTTACTCATACACCATTGAGTTTTCACCTAGTAGTCGGTGTTAATAATTTCGATCAGTTATAATTTATTAAAAGATCCATATCCTGTCGGACTCCTGTTCTAATCGTTTAGATTTTTTTTAATTATCTTTTTGGTGGATCTCGGAAGTTTCACTGGATAGGAAATTTCGGTTTCCAACTGTGTCCTTCTATCTTAAACTATTGATGCAGACTACTTGGTTGGTTTCTGCGTGACTATAGTAACCGAAGGTTGGAGACTCTTGGTGACATGGCTCAAAATCGATCACAATGGCATAGTTGTATACACTCTCTGTCTTCCCTTGAACTATGAGATTGAAATCGCTTTTTGTCTATCTTTCTACGAACTATTTCTTTCTTTCAGTATTATGTCCTGATCTGCAATCTTTCTTTTATATATTACCACCATTGAATTAACTACTTCTATGAATCTGGTGTTAATCTTGCTGTGCTAATTTGGTATGGCAACTTGAGCTTATGCATACATGTGCCTGATCCTATTCCTTAGTCAATTTATTCTTTGAAGTATCCGTGTATGTTTTTCTAACGTGCTTGAGGTACATACCGTACATAAAGTGTACGTAATACTTGTAAATCTCTCTCTATCGTAGCCTACACATTGATTGTCTGATGTAATGTAGATTGTTTTATTCAAGTGGATAATCGAAAATATTGGAAGTACTATGATGGTAAACATTAGAGAATGTATGATAGAGAAATCATACCTAGTGGAATAAGTCTTGTTCAATAATGGAATATATAAATTACTGAAATAGATATTAATTAGAATCCAGCTTTCCACCACTCATGTCGTTATCGGTTTGATTTCCGTTACAAGCAGTTGAACAGTAGTACCATTGGCTTAAAGTGGGTATATAAACGTTTACATTTGGTAGGCTACAATATTAGAGAACAATGTAGTGAACGGGAACACAAGTGGGGATAATGGATTGTATTTGAACACAATATTACGGAACATCTTAGTAAAATCTGAGAACCAAACAGTAAATACTTCAGTGGCAAAATATCAGCCATTTGTCTCAAACTTGACTGTTCCTTCTACAAAATGTCAGTCAGTCGTCTCAGACTTCATTGTTCTTTCGTTCTCACACCAATCATTCTTTGATCTTCTTAACCTTCTGCTTCCAGGCATTTCACTTTCGATGGATGATACATACTATTTATATCTGTCAATATCAGTAGCACACACAGGGATATCTTTGTGTTCTTTCATCACAAAATAAATACTCCATTACTGATATGTACCAATGATTAATTTGATCATAGATCATTAAATTGTTGATCCAATTCTTCATCATTATTCAACCTATCTCCAGAAACTCATCAGCACATGTCTGAAAAAGACGTTTTGGCATAGTCATCTTTTAGCCTACTAAAGAGAGTGCATGTAGTTCACAATAAATCGTTTTATATTCTAAAAATAAAGGCTTTGAATAAGAAGAGTAGGTTGTAATTCTTTGATCATACATGCTTTCCAAGCGAATGTGTTGAAATTACGACTGTACACAAAATCTTATCCGATGTTATGCTCGTTATCCAAATATTAAGTAAACTTTACCGATTACAAGGAAGTAACACTGAATTATATTTACACAATTAAGTTTAAATTATCTGTTTTCTATGTTTTCCAATCTACATCGTATTTTTAGTCTAACCTTGTGAATCACACAAGCTCCTCGATCAGCAGTGGTAATACCGTTTACAAATACAAGAAGAATGTTATTCATCCTACTACAACAATGAACAATATGCATAAAACTACAAATAATCCGTATAATAAAAATACTGCCAAAAATTCCACTAAACGTGTTATCAAACAACAGCAACAACATCATCGTATTGCAATGACAGAACCACCGTCTGTACAAGGTCATTCTTTAGCCAGTAGTCGTTCAGTATCTGCTGCAAGTTCAATATCTAATTTGAAGTCGGTTAACACATTAAATAATGAATCTAATATTCAACCTCCACGTAGTAGTAATATTCCCAAAGCTACTAGTATTCAACAAATATCTGTGGAGTCGGTCTATGCAGCTCTTGTTAAACAGGATAAGTCATTGATGAATCAACACTCATCAAATCGCACAACTAATACAACAAAAAACAATAATACTCATAAACTTGCCAGTAAAACTCCAAATACTGGGTTATATGCAAAAAATACATCTAGTCATCGGTCATTGAATACAGTTGGCCGTTCGAATCATCCTTCTGAACGTCTTACCTCAGTTGAAGAAGGAATACCATTAACAACAAAATTGCAACAGTCTAAACATAATTATTCACTTCATGACTCTAATGATTGCATACCTAATGCTTTGTCCTGTGGAAATTCCACTGTTGCTTCAGACACTAAAACACCTGATGGTACACTGTCAGCAACAACGGAATTATTTGGATCTGGTACAATTTCAAAAAATGACAATAACACACAAGCATCAGATGTTCCTAAACCTATTCGTGGTGGACGAAAATCTTTAATAGGTTTGTCCAAATTTGAGATTCATTTGTTTATTTATTCTCTTTTTTAAACCATCATGAAAACTAACGGATTTATATAGTAAACGTTATGACATCAGTCCATAATTTTAATGACTGTGTTAGGATGGGCTGTGTTAATGGTTGTAAACTACCTGGTTAGGGTCTACACGATAACCACAAACAAATAATTCAAGGCTCATAATCGGTCACAGTAGCACAGATGCGTCTAGTCTGTTATCAACCTTTAGATCTTGAGTTTTCACATTCTTTCGTACATAGTTTTTTGGGGATTTTATTCTTTAATGTTAGATCTTTCTCACTATCCTTTATAATACTGCTATTTCGATATTTTCGCTATATTCTTTGTTAATTTCTTCTTGTTATAACAACACATATTTGTGTTAGGCTATATGTTGATTGTGACTGACTGACCATATACATGTGATAGTTCATTGCATTGTATAATCTCCAATCCAGTCAACCATCAATCATAATCATCTGCATTGATTGCTCAATACTCAATTATTTCACTTATTGGTGCTACATTTGGCTTGCCCTTTTCCAGCTTTCTTGCAACCCGTTCCTACACGTACAAATATCTCATGATATGGTCAGTGGTGGTTTGCCATATGTAATACATGTCTAATCCACTTCAGTTAATATAGATCCACAACTTCGTCAACCAACTTTCCATCTTCGCTTAATACGCCACATTTAATACCAAGATTGTTCACTCGGTTGTTCCGAAAGGATCTCGAGTGCTGTTGAAAGTATCTTAAAGTTCTGAATTCCTCACAAAATTGTTTTATCCCACTAACTTTCTCGAATTGTATCTTTCGTACCTAGTCTTTTCTATGACCACTAGTATTGTTATTACCTCTACTACTTTCGAATTAGCCCTGACAATTTCATCCTGCTGTTCTAGTGACGCATGAGAACTTAAGCCGATATTACACACGTGTCAGGTTCTACGTTGCATCTGACTGACAGTGGTCGGAACATCATAAGCAAACGATACTTCAAAGGTATATAATAAAGTACCATCAACCTATGAATGTTCCCCATCTTTAAAAAGACTGCGTTTCACAGTTAAACTCGTCTTTTCGTTGAGAGACACATATCTCACCTATACCATAGGTGGTGACTCAAGTTGACAAAATTCAAACAAGCCAAGTTGTTACCTATCGATTGTGTATGTTCATTGTGATAGATTTGAGTATGTTTTTTTTGTTATTTCATATTTAAACATTTGTTTAATATACAACACAATGATACCATAGTGATTGTATTTCTCTTTTTACATCATAATTACTGGACATGATATGATTTTTGACACATTATAAACAATACCATATGTTTATATGTATTAATAGTAAAAATTGATATGATCTGATTGCACAAAACTCATACCTGGTAAATGAGTTAAATGTAGTGTGTATTAATATGTTTCTGTTAGCTGCTATAAATTTACTTCTATTATTTATTTATTTATTTTAGCACATAAATATTGGTACAACGAGGCACCAAATACATATGCACCACACAAATCTTATTTGATATGTGTGAGTGCTGTGATACTGCCCGGGTGCCCAAACCGAGACAGGTGGTTTCCTTAGAAAGCCACACCCCGAGCCTTCGACCTAAAAACCTCATCCACAAGGCAGTGGAGCATCGTAAGGAGATACAGTCTCATGGCAGCCGGTGACCAGCATATGTCATTTGTCCCTCCAGGATCCCGGAGACCATGTACACCATTGGTTTGGAATCAGGGTTTTCCAACTCCCTTAGGTAGATCCTCCACATCCATTAACCCGGTTAAATCGTCGGACATTCAATTTTCGTCCTCTCAATTCGGTAAACAATAGTAGTGCCACGAGAAGGCAGTGAGTAGGACTTCCCTAGTAGTGGTTGTATGCACGTGGTTACTTGAGAGCATTTGGAGAGGGAGAGCGGACTCTCTCCACTCTCGGCCGTACCAGGGTTTTTGGGGATCTTTCACTATGATCAATAGACAATATGATTTCCAGTCATATAGACGGCATCATTTTTTATCCAGAATTGTAGATATACGATCTGTTGATGAGTATTAATTACTATTGCAGTTTGGTTGAGAGTCTTTTATTTTCAGCTTATCACCTCTAATCTAACCTCTACTTTACATCTAAATACTGTTTGTGATATTAAGTCTGTCAGACTAGCGACCATATTGCGTTTAGATCGATAGAATCTAAGAGAAGACAACTAGCATATACATTTGTATCATTGTGATTAACTTTGAACTATATCATTCAACCTCTCTAACTACGGATTGCGGTTATAGCACGAATCGCAACTGGATAGTCTGCATATACCTCAAAATAAAAGCCAATGATTTTATCAACTAATGCCACGTTTTTGACTATCTTTAGCTTTCTTCCAACCTACTTCTATATCAGTCAATATCACCTGTCGAGGTAAGGAATGGTTCAAAAATGATTGATTTATGTACTAGTATCCTTAAACTTATCATATGTGACATCTCAATGTTCCGTGGGTAACTTCAAAAAAAAAACATCCAATGTGCTCAGTAAAGCAATATATCTAATTTACTGCTAGTTGTTAAAAACCAGGAATTCAAATCTGTACAATTTCTACAATTTCAATCAATAATATTATGTATTCTGTTTTATTTAGGCCGAAAAATCAGTCCATCAACTGTGAATGTGATGAATATGTCGAATAATGGAATACCTGTTGCTGTGAAACCAATATCAGCTGTTAAACCAACACCACATTCTCTGTTGAATAATAATAATAATGACAATAAATTAAAAAAATCAGCCACTGAATCCTCAGTTGAATCGGATATTATTAATAATGATGAAGTGAAATCATCAAAACACAATAATGATTATACAAAGTGTGAATATGAACAAAATTACCGTAATTACGATAAACCTATTCCAGGTAATAATGATGATGATGATATTAATGAAAAATTGACAAATACACCTCCTGGAATGTGGATCGTTCGTGAAGATCTAGACGTAGTTATTGGTGATTTTCACTAGAATGTTTGTTCTAAAAAGTAAATAAAAAATCAACCTCACAATTATTACTCTGTTATCAATTATTCTCAATAGTAAAATACTCTATACACACCGGTTACTACACATTGTTTCTCTACTTTTCTGATTTTAAATTTATGCTTTTATATACTACTTTATTGTATTTTAGTAGTTTAAAATATTTGACTGCATTTTTCACTCATCAGATTAATGCTAATATTGCAAGAGTAGTTGAAATAATATTTTATTCTTTATCTACTATACTATTGACTATTTATTATTTTGAATTACTATCATCACTATTAATTTCTCTTTCAAAGTTATCTAACATCCACTCGCCTAATGCAAATTAAAACAAACAAAAATTCCAACTTATCTATTTATCATTCTAAACAAGCAGGGTATATTTCTGCAGTACCATCTAAGAGGAATCTATACGTAAACGAGAACTCCTATAACCTTTTAAATACGCCTATGTTTATGTATTACAAGCTTCTTAAATTAGTTTTTTTTTCTTCAGCTCCTTTACTCTCCAATATTTATGCTACTTGTAAGTAGTATATATATATATACATACAACGTATTGATGAATCCATTATCGTTTTGTACAGAACCTCAAAATTGTCTTGCACATTCATGTGCTTTTGTTTGTAGGTAGTCAATTTTGTTTGGTACTATCATGTTACATGTAACAAATTAATTAAACCAAACCAGTAGGGAATCATACATATTTGCTTCAATTGAAATTATAGCATTTATGTTAACTTTTAACCTTAAATTTTCTATCCTTCTTCATTATATTATTCGCTTATGTTTATTGTTGATCCGACTATTTTCTTTACTTGTCTAATGTAATCATGTTAAAGTCTGGGATGGGTTTCATAATGTGGAAATGGTTGGATGGGTTCTCTTATCTCTATTATATTTGAACACGTTTTCAACCTTTATTATTGTTGTCGTCGCATACTGGTTGTTCTTCTGCTTTTTGCTGATGTTCCACTCTAATATATTTCATTTTTATTCACATATTCTCTCTAACAAAATATGTCTTGGCATTTCATTTTGTATAATGCAAACTATTTAATAGAGTTGTGCTTTTGATTGGTCGATTAGATTCAACCACTGTATCCATTTCTAACAGTTAGCGAACTCAACTATGAAAAGGATGGAGAGCACGGCTTTGCGTGGAGCTTGATCATCGAAAGTTCAATGATAAAATCTACATCATGACTGTATAAGGGGTTATCTGATAACAAAAGTTGGACAATTATTATTATTATTTTAACACATAGATATTGGTACAAGGAGGCACCAAATACATATGCACCACACAAATCTCATTCGATATGTGTGAGGGCTGTGATACTGTCCGGGTGCCCAGACCGAAGCAGGTGGTTTTCTTAGGGGGCCACTCCTCGAGCCTTCGACCTGAAGGTCTGATCCACAAGGCAGTGGAGCATCGTAAGGAGATGCAGTCCCATGGAAGCCGGTGACCAACAATTGGTTCACACGCCATTTGTTTCCGCAGGATACTGGAGCCCATGTGCACCACTGGTTTGGAATCCGGTTAAAGCGTCGGACATTCGCTTTTCGTCCTCCCATTTTCGTAAACAACAGTAGTGCCACGAGAAGGCAGTGAGTAGGACTTCCCTGGCAGAGGCTATATACGCGTGGCCATGTGAGAGCATTTCGAGAGGGAGAGCGGACTCTCCCCACTCTCGGCCGTACCAGGGCATTTGGGGGCAAAATTAGCTCATCCACTTGTAGTAATCCACTCGCTCTAGCATCTCACTTTCCATAATTCATTGAGGTCGCATGTAATTGTAGTGAAAGTTGGAGGAATTCTCTGTATTTCTAAGTGCTAATTAATATTGATAAGGTTAGCTTAGTGGTATAGGGACTTATTCATCATGTGTCCGACCATCAGATGCGGGGTCGTCGGTGAGCACTTCTGAGAAGGCTTATACTACGACGAAATGGTGGTCCAGTGCATCTAGTTTATCAGTGGTGCTCTATTTAAGATAAGTTTGTGGTTTAAACTGTTAAAATAATACAAAACCATTGAAAAATGTCATTTGAGTGGTTAGTATTACTATCGATTAGTTAACAGTGTTAAACCTATCGAAGCGTCTAATTCCACGATTGAGATATGCGCGAAATCGTAGTTCACAAAATACCGATCTTCAACTCATGAGCTTTCTGTGGTGCCTAGCGCGTCTGTAGGTCTGAAAGAAAAGGAGCTGAAACCTGTGTTTAACCTTGATAACAGTTTATCAACAAGCAAAAAAGAATCAAACGAATATGAAAACCATCACGTTTAAACAGAGATTAGGCGACTTCAAAAATTGAGACTAACTGCCAAAGGTACCGAGAGAGAGAGAGAGTAGTTCTAATGATAATACAATAAATGTTATGAGTATATGTTAATATTTTAGAATATTAGACGACAAACTCTCCTCACAACATGCGCCTAGAAATTACCAAAATACAACTATTTACTGAATACTAATAAGTAGTACAAAACAATACTAAAAAAACTAGTTGGTGGGGGGGGAGAACGCCGAGCCTGTTTTCTTTATCTTCACCATGACATTAAGTGGATTAATCAGTTAAAGTAGATAGCTGTGTTAAAATAAGTGGTTGAGCCAAATTTCTATTGAAGTGACTACAAATTGGATTGACTATGAAGACTGGATGCTCTCGTTGAAAAGTCATTCAATCGAGAGATTTCACCACATGCTAACATAGTGCTTATTAGTCTATACTTTCATGATTTCTACTGGGTATAAAAGACAATTTCCTGAAGAGTTGGTCAATTTAAATGATTTTTAATAAACAATTTTGTATGAGTGATAAATGTTTACCTTGAACCGTCTAACAGTATTATTAATTACTCCTTAGTAAATCGGTGGACTTGTTTGGTATGTCAGCCCGAGATAAATGTAGATCTCTGTTTCCCTATTTCTATCTGACGCACATCAGCAGCCACTGACTGTAGTGATCAGAACAAATACTTGCTTACTGTAATTTGTCGGTGAATTATCGAGTAATAATTTCATCCTTGATATCTCCTTAGTTATTCACCAGCTTATATCACAGAGTGACTTTTGTTAAGATAGCCAGTGGGTACTAGACAATTTTCTTTTCCTAGTATAAGGCTTCTCAGCCATGCCAATTAGTGATTTGGCTAGGTTTTTAACCCGGATACCTCAGAGTTTATAGCGAGAACACCGAACAACTTGAACTAAATAATGTGAATTCATTTTATTTCATCTTATAACTTATTCTAGCTTCTGGATGGACACGCCAACTTATTCATTCTTCTTGTGTCACGTTCTGACATTGTTAATTATTCACTTATCAACCTTGACTGTTTTATGTAAGTGTGTGTGTGTGCCTTTCATATCCTATTCATCACATGTCTGTAACTTATTTTTGTGTGACTATAAATAATGATTAACACTTGGTTAAATCAAGTTGGTTCACTCACCTTCTCCACTGAGTGTCATTTCGCTCCATACTCTTCGCTTCATTCGCTGTGGTTCTCTGATTGTCTACTCCGATCAATGAGTGTACAAACTATATGTACTCGAAGATCGATCCTCTCATTGAATGGACAATTCAGTAGAAATGTCTAGGTAGTCATTTAATTTGAGGTAATCAGGATTTGGTTCTTCTAAATACTTTCTTCAAATTCATTACGAATCTAATTAGTGGATACCAGGTCGCTAGGAAAATCAACATCTAACAAAATTGGATTAGATTTTCGATCATAACTTGATTCATTCGACATATCTTTCTCATTTTTATAAGAGATCTAATAAGTTGGTTCTATATAAATTTCTGTCTGTCAATGATTTTGAGTATCATTTGGTACAACTGGGTTCATCGTATTGCTCCAGTTATTTTCTGGATATCAATCCACTCAGCTTTCTCGATTATTATCACATGAGCCATAATTTTGTTCTAGCTGAAGTTTAGTTTCAGAGTTAGACAGGCCCATTAGTGCTTCATTTAATTCTAGATTCTGGGCTTCATCTACAGGATCTGGTTCTTGATCGTCTGGTATTGTCACAACTTCATGTGCATTTAGCACAATGTTGTGTTGCTGTGAGCCGGACAATTTACCAATATTACATTTTGCTTCAGGTATAAAGGGATTTGAACCCTCCACAGAGCATGCTTCTGAAATGGCCATAACTGCACCATTGTCTGCATCCTAAATAGATTTCTTATTTTCTGGTTGAGTGAAAAGTCTGCCCATAACTTTTTCAAATAGTTGCTGTTGAAGGTTTAACATCTGCTGGTGCTGTTGCTGTTGGTACTGTAATATCAACTGCAACTGTTCTAAAGAAATCGCCATTTTTTTACTGCTAATAATAATATTAACTCCAAATCCACCGTCAATTATTATGGCTTATTTCTTTTGTAAAATCCAAGTCACCAGTTGTTGTTTTTCTTCGTAAAATCCCTGAAGCCAATTTTTTGTGTACGTTTTCTCAAAATCCATGTCGCCAATTTGTTGTGTCTTTATAGCCCGCTTTTTATCACGTGGTTTATTCCACCAATCAAAATACGACTTATTCGCTCTTGTGCTGTACTAAACCAATGACGTTCGGCCGGTATAAGCAGCCTGACGTCCTATTGGTCCATTGCTCGCCCAGCCCATCCAGCGGAGTCCGGAATGCCAATAACAGCCTCCACTATACGAATCCTTTATTTCAATCATACCTGGTTTATATACCAGACAAATAGACCACATCACGCCATCAAATAGGAAATAACATTTATACTAGATGTAGTCAAGAAGTGGCTATGGTAGTGATTGTAGGAGACTATTCAATAAACTTGACATAAATTAAGAACAGTAAATCGTACAATCATAGTCTATAGATCAAAATGAAGCTTACAATAAGAGGAATATGAATATACATAATCTGGTTACTGAACAGTTATACAATAGGAATATATGTGTAATATTTGTCCATGAATAGATGACAGAA